AAAAAAAAAAAAAAAAAAAAATGGGCAAAGGATCTGAATAGACATTTTTCCAAAGAAAGACATAGAGATGGCTAACAAGTACCTGAAAAGGTGCTCAACATCACTAACAGGGAAATGTAAATTACAACTACAATGAGATATCAGCTCATAGCTGTTAGAATGGCTATTATCAAAAAAACCCAGGAAATAACAAGTGTTGATAAGGATGCGGTAAAAAGGGAACCCTTGTGCTAAAACGCTAACTCAAAAAGATATATACACCCCCATGTTCACTGAAGTATTATTTACAGTAGCCAAGACATGGAAGCAATCTAAGTGTCCATTGATGGATGAATGGATAAAGAAAATGTGTATATGCAGTAGAATATTATTCAGCCATCATAAATAAGGGAGTCTTGCCATCTGTGACAACATGAATGGTCCTTGAGAGTATTATGCTAAGTGAAAAAAAATCAGAGAAAGACAACGTATAATCTCATTTATATGTGGAATCTTATAAAAAGAGCTCATAGACACAGATAACAGATTGGTGTTTGCTAGAGTTGTCAGGTGGGGATGGGGGTCAAAATGGGTGAAGGAGATCAAAAGGTACAAACTTCTAGTTATAAATAAATAAGTCCTGGCAATGTAAGGTACAGTATGGTGACTGTAGTAAATACTGTACTGCACATTTGAAAGTTGCTAAGAGAGTAGATCCTAAAAGTTCTCATCACACACAAAAATTTGTAACCATGTAAGGTGATGGATGTTAACTAGACTTACTCTGATCATTCTGCAATATACACAAAAACCTAATCGTTATGTTGTACACCTGAAACTAATGTTATATGTCAATTATATCTCAGATTTTAAAAAGATACCTTTTAAAATACCTTCATACCATTAATATTTGTACATTTTAACAGTTTAATAATTTTTACTTAGAAAAAATGTTAAGAATTGATGAATCTTTGTGATTCTTGATATTTGAGTGTTTGTTATTGGAATGAATAATAAAAAAACATTTTTCTTTAATCATTGAAATCCCTATATCTGGTATTTAAAGGTATGTTGTTTTACAGGTAAAGATGGTACTTAACGGTATGTTGTTTTACAGGTAAAGCTGAAAACTATAAATGAAAGCTGGAAAAATCTCTCTAGTTCTCAAAAGCAAGTAAGTAGTATGGTTTTAGTCTCAAGTGTCTAGTTAGAATATCTATGAGAATATGTTAGAGCAAGGCTTGATTCATGTGAAAACAATGTTATATTACACAAAGTATTTTTAAATCATTTTCATATTCTTGGAAGCAATTTGGCTTTTCTCTTTTGGTAGTTTTTTTTTTAATTGGCTTCATTTTATTTTATTTTTAAAAATATTTATTTGTTATTTTTGGCTGCGTTCTGGCACACAGGATCTTTTGTTGCAGCATGGGCTCTTCATTGCAGTGCACAGGCTTCTCTCTACTTGTGGTGCGCTGGCTTCTCTCTACTTGTGGCACGTAGGCTTAGTTGCCCCATGGCAGGCATGTGGGATCTTAGTTCCCTGACCACGGATTGAACCCATGTCCCCTGCATTGGAAGGCAGATTCTTTTATTTATTTATATAGAAATAAATAAATAAATACACACATACATACATACATACATAAATTGAGGCTGCATTGGGTCTTTGTTGCTGCTCGTGGGCTTTCTCTGGTTGCGGCGAGCAGGGGCTACTCTTCATTGTGGTGCACGGGCTTCTCATTGTGGTGGCTTCTCTTGCTGCGGAGCACGGACTCTAGGCACGTGGGCTACAGTAGTTGCGGCTCGTGGGCTCTAGAGCACAGGCTCAGTAGTTGTGGCGCATGGGTTTAGTTGCTCCACGGCATGTGGGATCTTCCCAGCCCAGGGCTCGAACCTGTGTCCCCTGCATTGGCAGGCAGGTTCTTAACCACTGCGCCACCAGGGAAGTCCCTGGTAGGTTTTTTTTTTTTTTAATTTATTTATTTTTGGCTGTGTTGGGTCTTTGTTGCTGTGCAGGCTTTCTCTAGTTGCAGCGAGTAGGGGCTACTTTCTGTTGCGGTGCGCAGGTGTCTCATTGCGGTGGCCTCTCGTTGCAGAGCAGGGGCTCTAGGGCATGGGCTTCAGTAGTTGTGGTGCATGGGCTCAGTAGTTGTGGCTCGCGGGCTCTAGAGTGCAGGCTCAGTAGTTTTGGCACACGGGCTTAGTTGCTCTGCAGCATGTGGGATCTTCCCGGACCAGGGATCGAACCCTTGTCCCCTGCATTGGCAGGTGGATTCTTAACCACTGCGCCACCAGGGAAGCCCCCTGGTAGTTTTTTACTGCAAATAAAATTGGTATTTAAAACAGTGTCACTCATAACTTAGTGTCACTGTATCCAGTGGTGGTCACACCTGGCCCCTGTTCCTTTTCCATACTCCAAGCCCTGAAATTGTAACAACTTCATTAATATTTAAAATTTTTCTCTCTTACCTTTTTTCATCTAATTTTTATCTCACGAAAACATTCGTTTCCAATCCCCCCTTACACATGTAGAATAGTAAGGTAATTTCTAGAGTATATATAGGAAAGCATTCCAGAAATTAATTGCAAAGATTCCTCTAAAGAAATCATTTTAACGATTATACTTTTTCTCAGGTATATATTCAACTTGCTAAAGATGATAAAGTTCGTTATTACAACGAAATGAAATCTTGGGAAGAACAAATGGTTGAAGTTGGACGAGATGATCTTGTACGACGGTCAGTGAAATACACAGCAAAATAGTGACCCTGAGAAGTATTAAAATAGAAGATTGAATTATGTTCATAATGGATAGACACAAGAAACCAATTAGGTCTCAATACCCAAAGCTGTTGTAAAATTAAAATGGATAAAAGTTGGTAAACATTTATATTTAATTTCTTTTCTTTAGCCCGTTGACTTCTGCCAGCCAATTCAATACATTTTGTATTGGTGTCTTGCTTTGGAAAACCCAAACAGATAAGAGTTCATGCAGAATGTATTTTGTGTTTAGGAACCACTGAGCATCAAAATAATCCATGAAATGTAACCGTGAATCATTTTACCTTTGATAAAGGTAAATCAGACTGTGAAGTTTTTTTATACTCTATGACTATGGAAAGAATATTCTTGTTTCCTTATATTATGGAGGCAGGAGTTTCCTTTTCAAAAGTGTCTCAACGTTTATAGAACCCATAATGTTCTGTGATATAATTGTTCGTTTTTAATAGAGCATCCAGAACTCATGTTGGCAAATTCCAAATCCTAGGTATAATTCATATTGTAGTCAGAGTTGACGGTTGTACATGCAAGAGATTTCTGGTGTCAGTTGCAACTTTTATAAAAGGGATAGAGAAATTTATAAACCTTTTCCTCATTATCTTTTTTCCTAAATTAAAAACTAAAAAATTATGTACCATATCTATGCATATTGTTTTATATTGCATAGAGTAAAAATTTAAGTGTTTCCTAATTATATGTTTTAAGGTGAGACATTCATTTTACAGCTTTCTCGGGTTTTTTTTTTTTTTTCTTTGTTTTTTTAAAGTAGGAATTTGTATTCTGAATTATTTTTTCTCTTATATGATTATATTTATCCAGAAAGTAGAGAACTTATTTGGTATAAGTTTTAAAATGAGAGATCTAAAAAACATAAGTCTCCTGTCTCTAGATTTGGAGCCTGTAATTTTTAAACATTTTGCATAACATACAAAAACCTATGTACGGGACCCAGCTCTGGCCTGTTGGTGAAATCCAGCCCACTGCCTGCTTTTCATGGCCTTGTGAGGTAAGAATTGTGTTTACAATTTTAAATGGTTAAAAAAAAAAGAATATTTCAAGGCACATGAAAATTAATATGAAATTCAGTGTCCATAAATAATGTTTTATTGGAACACAGCCATACTCATTGTTTATGGCTGCTTTTGTGCAACAGTGACAGAGTTGACTAGTTGTTACAGAGATGGATAGCCTGCAAAGACTGACCCGTACAGTGTGGAATGAGATGCTCTTAAATTATTTGCTATGGCTCAGTAAAATAATCCTTAGGAATTTGCCAGTTAGCATATAAACCTTACTATCCTTTAGCATTTGTTTATCCTCTTAGGAGAGTCAAGCAAAGGTTTTCAAAATCCTTACCAGCCTTTTGAGCAAAATATTCTACTGTCATCATCAGTTCACAAGAATAAGATAACTCAAAATTTATATTATACAAAATATTATGCCAAAAAATTGTGTATTCTAGATCTCCAGAAACAAATGAAGATTTTTGTAGTTTGTGGATAGAAAATAAGTTAAAAGTCATGAAAAAATGACTTTTTACATACCGAATTTGGCAAAGGTAGGGACTGTAGAGAAAAATATAGCTTAAGAGAAGCCTAAGAGTTAAATATATGAAGCTGAGTGTATTCAGACAACTTTCCCCTGTGGATAGGAATACAGGACAAAGTCTGCCATTAGGTAGATAGGCACCTTGGGTCTGAGGCTAGAGTATTTTGGGGAGTAAGGGTTAGGGAAAAAAAGGACGTGTGCTAGTGTCTATCACAAGCTTTTCTCAATTAGGTTTCCAGGAGAGAAGTAAGCCCTAATTCCCTATAGCATCTAGAATGGTACTGATTTTGTATCATCCTCAAGAGAATGGAGAAAATAATCACTCAAATAATTTACTGTGTTCTGTGCGTCAGATGAGCCTAGGGAGCAGATAGGAGTCAGTGTTTGTAATGAATATTATAGAATGGGTGAGGTAGAGAAATTAGTTATGTAAACACCTGCAGGACAAATGTAGTGTAAAACACATCTTTGCAATTACTTTCTGAGCTCTTTTAGCATTTACCTGTATCATTTTATAGCAAACACATTCAAATCTTATCTTCCCGAATATACTGGGAAGTTCAGTGTCTGGTAAGTTCTTAAATATATACATCTTAATATAGGGAAGAAAAGTATGAAATAGTGAAAGGAGCTAGAGCAAAACCATTTTATGATATCATTTTATTTGTTTTTGTTTCTAAAAGAATGTCATCATTAATACTTTAAATATTAGGATAATCTGATTTCACACCTTTCTTAATAAACTTCAGTACCTGTTGAAGACTGGCATGCCATATATCAAATGCCATCCAGTTTAACAATATACACAAATATTCTATTGTTATAAAGAATAAGAGCTTATATCAATAACCAGTGGCCAGTCATATAACACCTTACTTTTTAGACTTTTCTTAAATTGACCCAACAAAGTAATTGCTGTAAGAGCTAAAGAATAGTGCCAGGGAAAAGATGCTGAGGAAATGAAAGCAGTGTTTATGCTTTTCTGAGCAGTTGGTCATAAAGAGATGTTTATACTTTTGTTCATTAGAGTACCAGTATTAAATTTTTTGAAATAAATTGATGATGGGTACGTGTGTAATTATTTTACTTTCTGATGTTTAAGGGATATTATGTGCAGATTCAGCCTACTGTAATCATGTAATTTTGCTGTTGCTTTTGGCTAACTCCTTTTTTGGAAATCCCACTTTCTTTTTTTAAATAGTTGGCTATGAATGTATATATTTAAATTTCTGAATTAAAATGATATTACTACAAGTAGAGTTAAAGTAACTAGAAAACTTTATTGATTTTTCTGACATTTACTGTACCTAAAATTAATCACCACCAGGTTGTGCTAAAGCAGCAAGAAGTTCTTATGTAGTTAAGTAATAAGTGTCCATTATTTCTTTTAATTTTATCAATCTTTTTACTATAAGAATTCTCTCAAGAATACTCTCTTACTTTCCTCTCCTCACAGCCCCTCTCCCTTCTTCTTTTCAAAGCTCCAAGCTCTTACAGACAAATTTGAAAATGTTATAAGCACAGACTGTATGTTTTGAAATTTTAAAGCAGTAATACTTTTTTTTTTAAATACTTTTTAAAAAATTGAACCTTTGGGAAGAATAAGAAATGAACATATTTATTACTTTGAATTTGTAAAACTTTCCAAACAGAAAGTAAAACTATACAAAGCTAGTATCAGTCTCTCACATTGTTCACAAATAAAGTACTTTTGGTAATTGATTAAATCATTGATTATATTTAATGGAAAATACATGAAACATGACTATTTTCTAGCACATTAAAAAATACTTTAAAAAAATTTTTTTTTCCTGGCTAAGAAGCTACATACTTAAAATTGACCCTAAACAAGAATTTTAAATAAGCTAAACATTTAAAAATCACCCTAGGGCTTCCCTGGTGGCACAGTGGTTGAGAGTCCGCCTGCTGATGCAGGGGACGCGGGTTCGTGCCCCGGTCCGGGAAGATCCCACATGCTGTGGAGTGGCTGGGCCCGTGAGCCATGGCTGCTGAGCCTGCGTGTCCAGAGCCTGTGCTCCGCAACGGGAGGGGCCACAACAGTGAGAGGCCTGCGTACCGCCAAAAAAACCCCAAAACACCCTAATGTCATTTAAATCATCGTTACATAATGGTGTCTGATTTACATGTGATGTGCAAGAAAATAATTGAATTTACTTTTTTGCCCGTACTAATTTAAGATTTATCCAATTTCATTTCTCCACGCCCACAAGTCATGTATAAGAGGAGAATAAGGAAGGCAGTATAGTTGACCTTTGACCAGTGCAGGAGTTAGGGATGTGGTCAGAAATCCATGTATAACTTATAGTTAGCCCTCTGTATACATGGTTCCTCTATATACGCAGTTCTGCATCTGTGGATTCAACCAACCATTGATTATGTAGTACTGTAGTATTTACTGTTGAAAAAAATCTGCATATAAGTTAGACTCACAGAGTTCAAACCCATTATGTTCAGTGTCAATTATACAGTTCTGACACAGTGACTTTTTACTATAGAGACTACCAACCATCAGCCTTCACATTAAAAAGTTGATTGGTTATACCCAACTCTAAGATTCTATTTAAATTATCTGTTTGATCTGGAGACAGGGTGGGATCAAGATGGAGTAGGAAGACCTTGAACTCACCTAGCCCAATGAACACATCAAAAATACAACTATGTATAGAGCAATTCTTCGTGAAGGAGACCTGAAGACTAGCAGAACAGCTCTTGTACAACCAAGGCTGTGGTACACAGAGTCTGGTAGGGAGGAGAAGCATCCTAGCCAGGATCTGCATCCGTAGCTGGTGATCCAGAAGATTGGGATGTCACAGGCTTGGGATTGTTCCTAACGAGCAAGGAATTCACACCCCATATGAAGCATCCCAGTCCTGGGGTCTGTCACTAGGAAGACAGCCCTCTTAGTTGGTTTGAAAACCACTGGGGCTTACTGGAGGGCTGTAAGAAACTGAGACTCCACTCTTGAAGAGCACACACAGATTTGCTCCCAGTCCCAGCACAGACCAGCAGATTGAAAACTGTCTGGTGCTCTGGCCAGCCTGCCAGGACACCCCAGGGTACACTCCAATCTGCACCAGGATCCCACTCCAGTCCTGCCTGAACTGGCACCATTCCCCATTAAGGTGGAGACTGCCATTGCCAACACACATGTATGCACTGGGGAAAAAGGATAGCCAGCTCAGAAGTGAAACTCCAACACCTTGGCCGCAACCTCACCTCTGACCAAAGCAAAGACTGCCACCACAATTGCACGTGTGCGAATGTACTAGGGAAAGAGCAAGCCAGCCTAGAGGTGGGGTTCCAACCCCTTGGGCCCTGACCCCACCTCTGACCAAGGTGGAGCCTGCCATTGCCATCACACATGTGTGCGTGCACTGGAGAAAAAGCAAAGCCAGCTCAGAAGTGCTGTTCCAACCCCTCAGCCCCAACACCACCCCTAACCAAGGCAGAGACTGCCATCATGCCAGGAAGAAACTTAACTTCCTTAGGGCTCCTGCTCAAGCCCCTTGGACTTGGTCCCACTTCCCAATAGGGTGACAACCACCACTGAGCCTGGGACAAGTCCCAGCTCACATCTGACTCCAGCTCTATTCCCTTGGACACTAGCCATACCTCCCATCAAAGCAGCTGCCATCAGCACACCCCAGGAGAAGACTGCTCCCACCAAAGCCACTGGGCTAACACAGACTGCATAAGGAGGCTCCCACAGAAGGACATGCCTACAAGACCATAATAGGTAACAGTTTCACCTAATTTCATAGAGACAAATAGAGAAAGTCAAAATGAGAAGACAGAGTTATATATTTCAAATGAATGGGGGGGAAAAAACCCGGGGGGGGGGAAATGAAACATAATTTACCTGATAAAGAGTTCAAAGCAATAGTAAAACAAAAAACAAAACACACACGAAACAGAAAACACACACACACACAAAAACTTGGGAAAAGAATAGAGGAACACAGTGAGAAATTCAAAGAACTATGAAACATGAAAAAGAACCAGTCAGAACTGAAGAATAACTGAAACAAAAGTACATTAGAAGGAATTAACAGGAGATTAAGTGATAAAGAATAATGCATAAGCAATCTGGAAGATAGAATACAGGAAATCAAATCAGAACAGCAAAAAGAAAAACTTTTTTAAATGAGGATATTTCAAGAGACCTCTGGGACAACATCAAGAATACAAACATTCACGTTATAGCGGTTGCAGAAGGAGAAGAGAAAGAGGTTGAAAATATATTTGATGAAATTATGGCTGAAAACTTCCCAAACCTGAAGAAGGAAAAAATGTCCAGGTACAGGAATTACAGAGTCCCAAACAAGATGAATCCAAAGAGACCCACACCAAGACATCATAATTGAAATGATGAAAGTTAAAGAGAGAATCCTAAAGACAGCGAGAGTAAAACAAAGATGCTTTTTCTTTTTGGCTGCATTGGGTGTTTATTGCTGCGTGCAGGCTTTCTCTAGTTGCGGCAAGCGGGGTCTACTCTTCATTGTGGTGCACGGGCTTCTCATTGTGGTGGCTTCTCTTGTTGCAGAACACAGGCTCTAGGTGCGTGGCCTTCAGTAGTTGTGGCATGTTTGCTCAGTAGTTGCAGCACATGGGCTCAGTAGTTGTGGTGCACAGGCTCTAGGGTGCGCAGGCTTCAGTAGTTGTGGCTCACGGGCTTAGTTGCTCCACGGCATGTGGATCTTCCCAAACCAGGGCTCGTGTCCCTTGCATTGGCAGGCAGATTCTTAACCACTGTGCCACGAGGGAAGTCCATGGACTTGAATATTAGATGCTTTTTATGGTTAAATTTTATAGGTGTGGTAATGGTATTGTGATTATGTAGGAGAATGTCCTTACTCTTAGAAGATACATGATGACACACTCAGGGCTGAAGTTTCATCACAAGTAAAGACATCTAGATAAAGCAAATATGGCAAAATCAGCTATTGACTCTAGATACGTCTGCTCACTGAATCTTTCAAATTTTCTATTTGAAATTTTTGATAAGGAAGAACTGGGAAATATATTGACCAAGAAAATGTTTATATTGTTTACTGAAATATTGCTTGAATATCCCATTTGTGTAAAACGTCAAATAGTTGTGCATGTTATCTAAGGTAGATGAGGCTGTGTGTGATAATCTGTTTTTTTCAGTTTGTGTGTATTTTTACTCATCTAACAACTTTGTGTATTGCAAGTGTCAACTGAAAAAGAATGCACAACCTAAAAGTTGAGAGTTATGTTTTATGAGGCTGACATTCTTAAGACTTCAAGCCGGGGAGGCAGCATCTCAAGTAACCCTGAGAAAACTGCTCTGAGGAGGCGAGGGGCAAGCCAGGATATATAGTAGTTTTGCAACAAAGGGCAGGTAGTCGGAACAAAAGATTATCGTTAATAATAATAATAAAAAACTAGGTATCTCAAGTTAAGGAATTTAGCGCTTTTCTACGTATGGGAAGATGCAAGAGTCTGGGCTCACTGAAACCATTCCTTTGATACGCACCTCAGCGATCTGGGGCCAGTATCCTGTGTTTTCGAGTGTCCTCAGGTCTCACTGTGGGGAGTGGCTGCAATCCGATGGCTGCTAGATGGCAGGTATTCTTTGTTTCCTTTCTAAGTTCCCTCAGGGCTCACCGGCTCACCCTCGGAGGTGGCTGCAATTGTTGATGACTATGACCGTTGATGACTATGACATCCTTTGTTTACTGACATGGCAGGCAATATTCCATTTCTCACAAGTAATTTTGAGAAGCTGGCATCATCACACTTTATCATGATTACTACTACCGCCAATGCCACCAGCACTGGGCTGCTGTGCCTTCCTGGGAGAAGCCCTGCTACCACCAGGTTTGTTTTCAAAGTTTGCACTGCGGGTCTCTTTGGTCTTCTCTTCCACCCGCGTTAGCGTCTGGGCTAGCGCAGCAACCGCCTCACACCGGCTCCCTGACTGCGATCAAAGTGGCTCAGGTCCCACCCCCAGCTCCGGGCGGGGCTCCAGCCGCGAGGCCGGTCGTGGGTAACACCTTCGGGGTCGACAGGCCCTCTGGCGCATGCGCCGCCCTGCGCGCAGCCTCAATCGGGGTGCGGCGGGCACTGGAGCACGGTCGGCGCTTGGCCGGTGCGAAAGGCGGCAGAGCTTGAGGGAGGGGCGGGGTTCAGGCTCCTATCCCGGCCAGCGGCAGCTGCTGCAGTGGCTTGTTCGAGTCTGGTCCTTGTACGCTTACCTGCGCCTGCGGGTCGCCAGAGAGGCCGCCGTAGTGTTGGCGGCCACTGTTCTGAGGCCGCTGCGCACTCGGTGAGGACGGCAGGGACTCCTCGCCCTCCCACTGTATTAGGACCGGAAACTGACTCAGAGTGGCTAGCGAGTGCCTCAAGACGGCAGAGCCGGCGGAGGAGGCACATCCACATCTGCTTCCTCCCTAAAAAACAATTCTGCCTAAACGTTGTGCCCGTCCCTGCACTGAGCCAAAGGACATCGCTGTCAAGTATAACGTGGACTCTTTTCTCATGGGGCACGTGTATTTCTGGGATTCTTGGTGTCTCTTCGGGGGTCTGGGATCATAGTTCATAATGGTTAGTTCTGGGGCTGGTATGAACTGTCCAGCCTGTGTGTTTTCAATGGTACTGATTTGAGTTTACTGAAGGACCCACCCAAGATTTGGGGGCACAGGGTGTTCCAAGATTTGGGGCGCTCATATAGGTTCCAACTAAAATGATTTTGTCCCTTGGGTTCAGGTCCTGATTCCTAGGAACAAAGCGGATCTTGTGAGGTAAAGAGGAATCCCACCTGGAAGATGGCTCATGTGAGTGGAGACCTTCCACCAGGGCTGCAGAACAGAGGAGGATCAAGGCCAAGAAAGAGCAGACCCTAGATTTGCACAGCCGATTGCACCATGCACCATGTGATCGTTGTGCTCTGCAAGCCACCTGTCAGACTGTGAGAACCTGAGGTGTGAGCCAGGTTTCAGGAGAGGGAGCTGGCCTAAGGCAAGGGGCAAGTCTGCCCAGGAAATTATATAGTCTGGGGGAGAGAAATACCACCTACCACTAAGAAAACTTATCTCAGACCTTCCTAACAGCCTTTGACTTCTTTCACATTCTCTATTCTTTCCAGTGCCTGAGGGGGCCTCACCCTATGCCCTTTATCACCCGTGACATTGAGAGACGTGGATGCTTCCTCCATCCTGACTTCACAGACACAGGAAGTAGTGAAGGAAAGAGCTTCCTGGACTACTTGTTTCTGCCTAGGATGAAAGATGAAAACCACTGAGCCCAAGAGGATGAATGACCAGGTCATCCCATTCGTAGCAACCTAGCCAATAGTCAGATTTTCCGACATAGTTAAGTCAAACCCAGTTTCTATTAAAAGACTGAGAAACTACTGCCAAGGTAGTTCAGGACCAAAAGATGTTCTACAGGAGGACATTTTATCCTGCTAGTGTGTGGAGCTTATAGGTAGGAGAATCCAGGAGATGCAAGGCAGATCAGATCTCTTGTGATCTATTCTTTCTTCCTCCAGCCCAACTTTGTAGTTCACTATGTGTTTCCTCGATCCACAGAAAATGAACAGATCTCAGGTGGTTTGTTTATTTTTTCCCTCCTTTGTTTACAGTGTCTTACATGAGACTTTTTAGGGTTAGTAGGTTAGAATGGAAATATAGAAATAGATGAAAGTCAACTTCAGGGATAATAGGAATGATATCAGGATGAAGTACTATGCAGTTATATGCAGGTTATATGCTATTACTAGACTATTCTGTGCTATCATTGACCGAATTTGTCTGATTTTTCTGATAGTCAGAAAAAATGCAGATGTTCTTTGTTACATGATTTGCATTGGCCCTTAAAGAAATCATCATGTGAATTCCTCATGAGGCATTAAGAATTCTAAAGAAAATGTTCCTTTCCTAATCTTACTGTAGGTAACATAGTGAATAATCTTTCAGTGACTATGGGAAATGGGTGTAGCCAGCTGCTTGTAATTGCTCCTCAGGGGAAGCAGGACACTTTGTGTCAAAGGAGAACTCAGTCAATTGAGGTTTCCAGGGGCTTCTCACCATGGTCTTGTAGACCTCTTCCTCATGGTCCCACTTGATCCGGGCATAGAACCAGGGATATCTGCAAGAAAGAATGGATTATGTCACCTTCAGATAATCTTCTCTAATATTATGTATAGATTGTGCTGCAGATAGATTAAAGTTGTATTTTCTGGCACACGCTTCCCCAGTGCCCTTTTACGTTTCAAAGTGCATCACTTGTTGGATCTGTATGGTGAGGAACACCGGTAACCTTATTATGACAAATGTCATTGATCTTATAGTATTTGCCTTAATTAAGCATTCTATCCAGTTGACACTCATGTTCAGTCCCTCCTAGAAAGTGTTGATTGGTTTCTGGTCTCTTCCTCTGTGATGATTTCTTTTCTGTTTTCTCAATGGAGTCTTCTTCCTCTTCTTGCCTCTTATTACTGCTTCTCCCAAGGTGTCCATTATTGGTCCCCTATTGTCCTCACTCTCCTGGTCTTGCTGAGTGATCTGTTTTCCTGTCTGGGGATGCATCATTTGCTGGGATGCTTTTCTGGCTCTCCAGCCCAGACCTCTCCCCTACCTTAGACCCAAATGGCCAACTCTCTGCTGGACATCTCTGTATAGCTCTTCTAAAGGCCCGTCATACTCTACAATCCAAAAGGAAAGTTGTTATTAACAGCTCCCCCCACTTTCTCCTTTATTTCCCATCAAATGTTATCACCAGCCAGTCCATCATCCCAGTGAAAAACCCAGTATCTATTTCTAAGTGCTGTCCTTTACCTGCTACCCGCATATCCAGTCAGTGATCAAATCTTGTTACATTCAATTTGTTAATATTTCTTTCTTTTTTTGAAATTGAAATAAAGCGCACACAGATCCTCGGGGTACAACTTGATGAATTTTTCATATGTGCTACAGCTGGATAGCTATCACCCAGCTCAAGATAAAGGCCATTTTCTGTACCACAGAAGTCTTCTTTTCTTTCCAAGACTGTACTTGCCCACTCATTCAAAGGTAATTATTATTTTGACTTCTGTTATCATATATTACTTTTGTCTCATTTTAAACTTCATACAAATAGAGTCATGTAATATATAATCTGTTACGTCTGACTTTTACTCATCATTATGTTTGAGGTCATCCATGTGTAGCAGTAGTTTGGTTTTTTTCCCATGGTATGAATATACCAGTTTATCTGTTGTGTTCTGAAAGGATATTTGGGTTGTTTACAATTCTGGCTTTTGTACACATGTGCACTTGAATCTGAGGGATAGAAACCTAGGAGTGGAATTGATGGGTCATAGCATGCATACATATGTTTAACCTTGATAGATTCAGCCAAACGGATTTTACAAAGTAGTTGTACTGCTTGATACTCCCGCCAGCGGTATGTGAGAGGTTCTCTTGTGCCATCGCCTTGTTAGCATTTGGTATTGTTTGTGAGGTTTTCTTTTTTCTTTTTTAGTATTTGGTGGGTGAGTGTAATGGTATCTCATTGTGGTTTTAATTTGCATTTCTCAGATTGCTGATCATGCTGAGGATCTTTTCATGTTTTCTAACCATTTTGATATCTTTTTCTTTAAAGCGTGTATTTGTTTTGTTTGTTAAAAAAATTGATAGTTTTTCTGTGCTGTATTAACTTGGATGTTTATATTTCTAGATATGAGTCCTTTGTCAGATATGTGTACTACAGATACCTTCTTTAAGTTTGAGACTTGTTCTGAATTTTAATTAAGTCCAGTTTATCAATATTTTCTTTAATGGTTAGTGCTCTTTGTGTCCTGTTTAAAAAAATTTTTGCCCATCCTGAAGTCGTAAAGGAATTCTCTTATATTCTCATCTAAAAATTAGAATTGTTTTAGCTTTCACATTTAAGTCTATGATCTATTTTGAATTATTAGATACATATACATAAACATATACATATCTTTTTTTGAGCTATGGCTAGTCAGTTCCCACAGTACCATTTATTGAAAAGACCTTCCTTTCCCCACAGAATTGCAGTGGTGTCTGTTAGAAATCAGGTGACCATATGTGTGTATCTCTTTTTGGATTCTTATTTCTGTTGCAGTTGCCTCTTTGTCTACCCTATGCCAGTACTGCCCTGCCTTATTATTTTAGCGTTATAAAAAGTATTCATATTTGTGGATATAAGTTGTCCACTTTTGTTCTTCAGGATTTACCGTAACTACTTTAAGTCCTTTGTATTTCTTTTTTTTCTTTAATTAATTAATTAATTTGGTTGTACTGGGTCTTAGTTGTGGCAGGTGGGCTCCTTAGTTGCGGCTCGCCATCTCCTTAGTTGCGGCACGCAGGCTCCTTAGTTGCAGCAGGCAGTCTCCTTAGTTGCGGCTCCAGGGCTCCTTAGTTGTGGCTCGCCACCTCCTTAATTGTGTGGCACATGGGCTCCTTAGTTGTGGCATGCGAACTCTTAGTTGCAGCATGCATGTGGGATCTAGTTCCCTGACCAGGGAATGAACCCAAGCCCCTGGCATTGGGAGCACAGAGTCTTATCCACTGTGCCCCCAGGGAAGTCCCAGTTCTTTGTATTTCTGTATAAACTTTAAAATCATCTTGTCAACGCCCTGCCCCCCTTCCCACCCTTCCCTGGGAATCTGCTGGAATTTGGTATTGCATTGGATCTATAGATTGATTTGGGAGTTAGGTTATATTAATATTGACTTGAATTTTCAACTCATGAACATGGCATTTCTCTTCATTTACTTAGGTCTCCTTTAATTTTTCTCAGGAATGTTTGATAATTTCCATGTGTACATGTTTTACTTCTTTTGTTAGATTTATTCTTAGGTAGTTGAAAAATTTTCTCCCTATTTTGGCGTTGCTAGTATATATAGTCAATTTTTGTATATTGAACTTGTTTTCAGTGACCTTACCATTTATTAACTCTAATATTTTATCTGTAGATTATTTTGGAGTTTCCTTCCACACAATTATGTTATATGGATATTTCTTACTTTTTGTCCCATTTAAAAACTTTAATTTCTTTTTCTTTATTGCTGTGGCTAGGAGCTACCATGGAATAGAATAGTACATACTTGTTTTCATCCCAGTCTCAAGGGAAGCGTTTCGATATTTTATCATTTAGGATGATACTTGCTGTAACATTTTTGGTAGATGTTCTTGGGGAAGTTTCATTCTACTCGTGGTTTGCTGAAAGTTTTTATCATCCAATGGTGTTGAATTTAATTATTGAGTTGATTGTATGGTTTTCTCCTTTATTCTTTTAATGGATTGATATTAACATACTGATTGATGTAATTCTATTAATGTTTTGATTTTCAAGTGTTAAACCAGCCTATTTTTCCAGGAAAAATTCCCACTTGGTCTTGATATTCTGTCATCTTTGAATGTATTTCATGATAAGTTGTTTAGGATTTTTGTCTTTCTTCATGAGAGAGACTTTTATTTACCTTTTTTATAATGTTTTTGTCATGTTTTATATCAATTGTATATGGCCTCAAAGAAACATGTTAAGTATTTCCTCATTGTCTATTCCCTGGAAGTGTTTGTTGAAGATTGGTATTATTTATTACTTAGTTGTTTGTAAAAATTCACCAGTGAATTTATATAGGGCCTGGATTTTCTTTATGGAAAGTTTTTAAATTATAGATTTAATTTCTTTATATTAGGGAAATTATTTTTTAGAACATGATGTAAGTTGTAGTTGCTTCTTCCCAGCTTGTCATTTGTTATCCCCAGCTGGGAGCAGGTGCTTTTTGTCCCAGGGCAAAGCACAATCATACCAAGGGTTTCTCACATTTTGCTTTACTCTACACAAACTTCCACCTTAAAATTGCTACACTAACCCCCAGCGTTCCCATCCCCCTTACCTTAATACACTATGTATTGTGTATTAAGGCACTGCTCCAACACACTCTTCCAAAACACTTCTCATCCAACACTACAGTTTCATTATTACTATGCTGTTTATTGTCTGTTTTTCCCTTCCTGAATGAATATAACTCTCCTGAAGACTGGAGGGGGACGTCATTGTTTTTCACTGTTGTAGTCTAAGTGCATAATAAGTATTGAAAAGTCGCTAAGTGAATGAATGAATGAACTTTCATGTGCCGTTTTGTTTTAGGTGTTTCCTTTGTAAGCACCATGTAGCTCAATCGTTTTAATCCAATCTAAGATTTTCTACCTTTTTGTAACAGACTTAATATGTTATTACTTGGGTGCTTCCTTGTCTTTTGTTTTGTGTTTTATACTTATTCATTCAAATATATATTTTTATATAGTGTGAGGTATAATTTTTTTTTTTACAAGTAGGCACTGTACATATATTTGACTCAATTCTGGGACTTTTTCTTGTCACTGATGTATTTTTCTTTTGATTAGAGGAGCTTTGTAATAAAAAGTAATATCCCTTTATAGTTTTTATTTTGAACATACCTTTTTCCTCTTTTGAATTAAAAACATTATATCCGGGGCTTCCCTGGTGGCGCAGTGGTTGAGAATCTGCCTGCTAATGCAGGGGACACGGGTTCGAGCCCTGGTCTGGGAAGATCCCACATGCTGCAGAGCAACTGGGCCCGTGAGCCACAATTACTGAGCCTGCGCGTCTGGAGCCTGTGCTCCGCAACAAGAGAGGCCGCGATAGTGAGAGGCCCGCGCACCTCGATGAAGAGTGGTCCCCGCTTGCCACAACTAGAGAAAGCCCTTGCACAGAAACGAAGACCCAACACAGCAAAAATAAATAAATTAATTAATAAACTCCTACCCCCAACATCTTCTAAAAAACAAACAAAAAACCCCCCAAAAAACATTATATCCGGTATATTTCCTCCCCCTCTTGTAAAAATTTTTAGGCACAACAACCAAAAAATTGTTTGCTAAATTAAATTGTTTTAAAGTTTTATGTTAGTTTTCTTCCCCCCCAACCCCAGTTTTGCCCATTTTATGTATGAGATATACTGAAAAAAAATGCTTTTGGTTTAATTTAGTCTTCCTCATTTATTTTGGCTTTATTTTAATTTTATTCACTTAAGATTTTATCCTTATTTTTTCATACTTTTTTGATTTGTTTTTTATTTTTCATATTTCTTTCAGCTAAACATGAAGTTCATAATTATTTTCAGTCTTTATTTAAAAAATAAGTTAAAGACAATTTTTCTCTGTGACAGCTTTAGTTTTAGGTCTTAAGTTTTCATGTAATGAATTTTCCCCTTTGTTTCTTTCTAGGACAGTAGTAATTTGGATGTTGGTTACTTTTCTTTGATCTAAAGTTTTTAATTTGGAGAATGTCTTATTTTATGAGTTAATGACTTTTTAGTGAATTTTTAAAATTTTGGTTTTATAGGTCATAATCAGACAAAGTAGCTTGTAAAACCTCTGATTTGTAGGGTTTAGCAATATTGTCTCTGAAAGCACAGCATAACATAACGATTATAAGTGGTGCTTTATTTTCAGATGACCTAGTTCAAATTTAGGGTGACTCTGGGAAGTTGGGTAACCTCTTTCTGCCTCAATTTTCTTATCTGTTAAATGGGAAAAATAGTATCTATGTTATAGGTTTGTCCTGAGTATGAGGTAGTATGTATTTAAAATATTGTATGAAAGACATTTTTCTAAGTAACTGAATTTTAACTATCATTAGTAATTACCTGAACACGTGAGTTCAACAAACTCCATTTGATAGTCCTTTCTTGTTGATAGAGATATATTGCCTCTTACCGTGATTGTGGTTTGTTTTCTTTAACCAAATTATCTTGTAACTGTAGTAGTTTTTCTTTTATCTATTTGGACATATACAGATTTGACTTAAACCTTGATTAATTTTTACCATTTATCGTTACATGGTATCTGCCTTTGCCCCATTGAAGTTTAAGGCTGCAAATTCTGCTTAATCTGATATAAATAAGACCATGCTTGCTTCCTTTTATTTGCATTTTCTTGTAGTATTTTGTCCATTCCTTCTTTTTTAACCATTCTTTATCACTTTGTTTTAGATTTATTTTTTGTAAACAACAAATGGCAACATTTGGGTTTTTTTTAAAGACTAATATGGCATGTTAGTCTTGCATAAGAAATATATCCATTCCCATTTTCTGTGATAATTCGTATATTTGGTTTTATATATCTGTCTTAGTTTACTACATATTATTTTTCAGTATAACATAATGCAATATAAATTTATACTATTAATTATACTTCTTTAGAATCTTTACTTTTTCTGGTATATTCAAATTTGTCATTGCTTCATTTTTCTTCTCTGTTAATTTGGTAGTTTTCTGATTTTTAGTTCTCATAGCTACAAACCCACACCTAAATATTATAACTGAGCCATATCTACTAACATATCAGATTACTTTGTTGCTCTTCTGCTGCTCCATGGTGTAGTGATTGCTACTGCTCTTCCTCCAGCCCCTCTTAGATGACCTTCGAAAGTTTCAATCCACCCATTACTCCTCCCCACACCCAGTCTCCATTTTAATAATTCTTTTTTTTTTTTTTTACGGTACGCGGGCCTCTCACTGTTGTGGCCTCTCCCGTTGCGGAGCACGTGCTCCGGACGCGCAGGCTCAGGGGCCATGGCTCATGGGCCTAGCTGCTCCGCGGCATGTGGGATCCTCCCAGACCGGGGCATGAACCCGTGTCCCCTGCATCGGCAGGCGGACTCTCAACCACTGCGCCACCAGGGAAGCCCCATTTTAATAATTTATCAGTATATTACTGGCTCTGTTCTTACGGAGAGTCTCTTCTGTTTCAGGAGGTGTTCTTTAATATTATGTTATACATTTCAAATCATGTTAATATTATCCATCTAGTTGTAACCATGTTTCAATAACAAGCTTGATTGTTTCTCACTCCTTCCCCTTGCTTGAGACTTGCTTGGCAGCTTGTTAGTACCTCCTTAGTGTTTTCTCTGCAGAGATTACAGGGGTGATTTATTCCTCGAGGCCCTGCTCATTTGAACACATCTGGTTTTGGGCCTGTCATATGAAAGACAATTTATTTATGTATAATATTCCTGGATTGAAATTCTTTTCTCATAATCTCATTGTCTTTTTGCTTTCACCCCTGCAGAGGAGAAGTCTGAAGCTAGGATGCTTTTCTTTACTTTGTGAGTCAGCTGTTCTTTCATCTAGAAGCTCTTAAGAGTTTATCCTTGTCATTCAGAATTATATAAATGTATGCCTCAGTGTGTCTTTTCATTAATTCTGGGTTGGTGGTTTTCTTCCTTCAACACTTTAGATATTTCACTCCATTCTCTCCTTGCTTGCATTGGATTCTGGCTTGGATTCTGAGAAGTCGGTTGTAATTCTTATCGTTGTTCCTTTGTAGGTAAGGTTCACATTCCACCAACCCCTGGGGCCCAATACCACCCCCACCCCTTCTTTGCTTTTTTCAAGATCTTTTGGATTTGGTTTTCTGCAGTTTGAGTAAGACAGGTTGAGATGTGGTTTTGGGGGCATTTATCTTGCTTGATATTCTCTGAGTTTCCTGGATTTGACATTAATTTTGGAATGTTTGGTTATTACTACTTCAGGTATTTCTTCTGCTCTGTTCCTTCTTCTTCTGGTATTATAATTATGCATATATTATGCGTTTTAATGTTGTGCCACAGTTCTTGGATGTTCTGTTTTTTTCATTCGTTTTCTTTTCACATTTCAGTCTGTGAAGTTTTTGTTGACCTATTTTCAAGTTCACTGGTTGTTTCCTTGGCCTGTTGTGTGATGAGTCTATCAGAGGCATTCCTTGTTTCTATTACTGTGGTTTTGACTTGGAGCATTTACTTTAGATTTTTTTCTAGAATTTCTATTTCTCTGCTTATATGACTCATTTATACTTGAATGTTGTCTAATTTTTTTCATTCAACTCTTTAACATGTTAATTATCGTTATTTTACACTCCCTGTCTGATAATTCCAACATTTGTGTTGTATCTGAGTCTGGTTCTGATTATTACTTTGTCTCTTCTTCATGTGTTTTTTATTACTTTTTGGTATGTATTGCAATTGTTTTTTGAGAGCTGGACATGTATCTGGTGATAGAACTGAGGTAAATAAATTTTTAGTGTGAGGATTTGTGTTAGTCTGGCTAGGAGTTGGGCTGTGTTTAATGTTTGTTGTAGCTGTAGGCGCCAGAGCCTTCAAATTCCTTTAGTGTCCTTGTTTTTGACTTCCCTAGATCACTGGTTTTTCAGCTTTGGTGTCTCATACCTAGAGGGATTATTAAAACACTGTTCACTAAGTCCCATGCCCAGAGTATCTGTTTCTGTAGATGCCTTAATCTAATGCTGCATAAGAAAGCACTGCAATATTTCGCAGCTTAAAGACAACAAGAAACACTTATTGTCTCACGTAGGGGTCTCATGAGGCTGCAGCCATCTGAAGGCTTGACTGGGGCTGGAGGATTGGCTTCTGTGATGGCTCACTCACATGGCTAGCAAATTAGTATTGATGTTTGACAGGAGGCCTCATTTTTTTCCCCATGTAGACTTCTCCATAGAGCTGCTTGAGTGTCCTCATGATATGGCCGCTGGCTTTACCCAGAGAAAGTGATCCATGAAGGAACAAAGTGGAAGCAGCAGTGTTCTTCTGTGACTTGGCCTCATTGGTCATACTCTGTTATTTCTGCAACATTCTATTGGTTACAGAGGTCAGCCCTATTTAATGTGGGAGAGGATTGTACAAGGGCATTGGGGGAGGAGGTGATGACCATCTTGGACACTGGCTATCATAGTAGGTCTGGAATGGGGCTTGAGAATTTTGCATTTCTAACAGGTTCCCAGCTGATGCTGATGTTGTTGACTTATGGACCACACTTTGAGAACACTGCCCCAGGGAGTACCCAAGAAAAGCTATTGGAATGTGGGAAGGAATTATTAGCATATCGATGTTCAGATATTTGTGTTTTAAAAATAAGAATGAGATTTCATGTACATATAAAGATATAAATAGCCATGCTGGATGAGTGCTCAAACTTTAATTAAGGGGTAAATGATCAAATGTTTTGAAACCCTTCGGCTGGAGGACATATCCACAATAACTTGTAATCTTGCTTATAATCTTGCTCTTAATTATGTCTGTGAGGCTTTATCTTAATACATCTCAAACCCTTTTCTCCTACTGTATAGTTCCATTAACTTATCAAGTATTCTTTTTTTTTTTGAGCCATGTGTTTTCAAATTTATCAAGTATTTTTTAATGCTTCCATGCCTTTTTTTGTGTCGTTGGCCCATATTTATAAAGAATATGTGATTCATGTGTCAAGACTTAATACTTTACTCCTCCATAAAACTCAACCTGATAATACAAAATAAAACTTAACATTTCTTCCCCCTTTGCAACTACCCATTTACCTTTCAGAGACTTTTTATCATTGCTTCTATAAAATTTATTGCAGATATTTATGTTTAAATATGTTTTCTGACCTGAATATAAACTCCTTGAGAGCAGGATTAACCTTTTATTTTTCTTTGTATTCCCAGAAATTGGGACAGTTCCTGGAACACTGGCAGGAACTCCTATGCTCTTTGTATGAATTAAGAAATTAATACACTGGCCAGACCTTATACCATGATTCCTCATTTTCCCACAACATATAGTACTGAGAGAAGGGATCCTACATTGCATTTTCTCTTCAACTATTAATTGTGAACATGACCAGGTGTTAGATCCCCAACATATTGCATGCTATTCAGTTCTGGTCACTGTAGATTGAACACAGATGTGCTGTTTCAGGGGCCAGTGTCATTTGAGGATGTGAGTATGGGCTTCACTCAGGAGGAGTGGCAGCACCTGGACCCTGCTCAGAGGACCCTGGACAGGGACGTGATGCTGGAGAACTATAGCCACCTCATCTCAGTGGGTAGGGATTGTATAATTTGTAACTCCAAACAATATTTGTTTCCTTTTTAGCTGCTGATATAGGTGGTTTCTTTGTAGAGATTAATAATTTATAGATTTGAAATTCAGGAGTCAAAGGTGATCCCTTTCGGGCACTACAAAGAACACTTGTGTTCTCTTCCCCAGTGAAATGTTCCAGTGGATTTATTTTCGTGCAGGCTAACTTTGTCCTCCTTTAAAGGTCCTGAACCTCAGGCCACCTGGTCCAAGTCCTGTGTCATTTTCCATTCACAAGGTATTGTGTTACCAAACCAGAGGTGATTTTCAAATTGGAGCAAGGAGAAGAGCCATGGATGTTAGAGGAAGAGTCCCAAAGTCAGAGCCACCCAGGTGAGTTAGCATAGACTTTACTGTAACCTGGGAGAAACTGGATCCCAGGGAGTTAGTTCAGATGTTGGCATGTTTGAGATTTTTTAGGAAATTTTTTTTAGAGTTAATAGAACTTTGGAAGTGACCAAGAATAATTGGCCTTCATGCCTCAGATGCATATATCACCCTGGCGGATAAGAGCTAAATGGTTTCTTTTTGGGTTTTCTTCCAAAAATCCAATCCTTGCCTCTCTCATTTTAAATATTTGTTATTCTTTCTACATCAATTTCATTTCATCTTTTAATCATATATTATGTATTAATTCACTAAGTATTAATTTGACATCTACCATATGCCAGGTTTGTCTGTGTGCTGGGGTTGCAACTGCTAACAATATAATGACTGCATTTTAGTGGCAAAAGAGAATGAAATGTGGTACTCTTTATGAAAGTGATCAGGAAAGAGCCTCTTTAAGATCAATATTATAATTAACACAGATCTGAATGGAGGGGGACAGTGGATTTTGAATATTCCAGCCAGATGGTATACCCTGTGCCATGAACTTGAGGCCGGAGTGTTTAGTGTCTGCAGAACAGGATAGCATTTGCCAGGATGAATAGAGATCAGAGAGTTAGAGATGATATCAGAGAGGTAGTTGGTGCCAGTATTTGGCTTTACTGGCTATCAAAAGCTCCTTAATTCTTTTTTTTTTTAAAGATTTATTTATTATTTATTTATTTAATTTTTTTTTTGCTGCATCAGGTCTTATTTGTGGCACGCAGGATCTTTATTGAGGCGCGTGGGATCTTTCATTGTGGTGTGTGGGCTCTTTGTTGTTGTGCACAGGCCTCTCTCTAGTTGTGGCGGTGGGTTTTCTCTTCTCTAGGTGTGGCTTGCAGGCTCCAGGACGCATGGCCTCTGTAGTTGTGGCGTGCAGGTTCCAGAGTGCATGGGCTCTGTAGTTTGCAGCATGCAGGCTCTAGTTGAGGTGCGTGAGCTCAGTAGTTGTGGCACGCGGGCACATTGTGGCATGTTGCCCCACGGCATGTGGGATCTTAGTTCCCTGACCAGGGATTGAACCCGCATCCCCTGCATTGGAAGGTGGATTCTTTACCACTGGACCACCAGGGAAGTCCCGAAAACTCCTTAATTCTAATTGAGATGGAGTCATTGGAAGGTTTTGAGCAAAGGAGCACATGTTCTGATTTGCTTCATGTATACCCCTGGCTGCCCTACAGTGGAAATGTTGACAGAGGGGGTGGGGAGGAGGGATGAGTAAAGTCAAGGAGAGCAGTTAGCAGTTCTCCATGTGAGGGATTGTGGTGCCTTAATACCGGCTTGGAAATAGAAAGTAAAGTGACATGATTGGATTCTTGATGTATTTTGAAGTTGTAGCCAAAACAGGATTTGTTGTTAGATTGGATTATGGGTATGAGAAAAAGAATAATCAAGAGAAAAACTGAAAGGTTTTTTTTCCTGAGGCACTAGATGTCTGGTAGTACCTTTAACTCAGACAGGGGAACTTGAAGAGAAGCAGTTCTGGGAGGAAACAAGTAAAGATATGGGTACGTTTATACAAATATTATCTGTATAAATTACAGATGATCCCCAAATTACAGTGATTCAACTCATGATTTTTTGACTTCATGGGTTCAAAAGCAATACCCATTCACTGGAAATTGTACTTTGAATTTTGATCTTTTCCCTGGGCCAGCGATATGTGGTGGTAAGATACTCTTTTGTGATGCTGGGTAGCAGCAGTGAGCCATAGCTTCCAGTCAGCCACATGACCACGAGGGTGAACAACCTTACAACCATCCTGTACCCATACAACTGTTAGTACAGTATTCAGTGAACTGCATGAGATATTCAACGCTATTATAAAATAGGCTTTGCATTAGATGATTTTGCCCAACTCTAGGCTAATGTAAATGTTCTGGGCACGTTTAAGGTAGGCTAGTCTAAGCTATGAGGTTCAGTAGATTAGGGGTATTATATGCATTTTTGACTTTTGATATTGCCAAGTTACAATAGGTTTATGGGGACATAACCTCATTGTAAGGCAAGGAAGATCTGTAGTAGCAATGTTCTGTTGAGTATACAAACAACAAAAATAAAATATTGAAAAACAATAGCATGTAAATAATTTATCAGTTGACCAGACGGGTGTTCTAAAATCCTTTTATTTTTTAGAAGTGTTGTTGAGTTAAATATGAATGGTAAAATTTAATGAGTAAATGCTAGCAGAAAGTAATGTATAACTTCTAAACTTTTGAAGGTAAGAAAATAGAAAAGAAAAAATATACATATATTAGATCAGACCAAAAAAGAACAATGAAAGAGAGGGGAAAAGCAGTAAAAATTAGAATAAGTGGAAACTGTAAGTGAAATGAAGGAAACCAACCTAGATATTTTAGTAATTACAATACATTCAAAAGGACTAAAACCTCTTGTTAAAAGACAGATATTGTCAATTTGGATTTTTTACAAATATAGGTATATGGTGTTTGAAAAGTACATATGAAATATAAAAAGAAAGAATGGACTGTATTCCATTATTGGAATGTAGAAAGGAATAGTGATATACTTCAAATATTAAACAAAATAGAATATTAACCCTTGGTATACCATCAGGGATCCAGTGTACCCAATTTTTGTTTTTGAATTTCTTTTTGAAACAGTTCTAATTATTTGCAAGGGTGGTTGTTTTATGACTTTCATAATTTCTTATAAATTAAAATAAAATTTTAACTTGAATGAACAAAGAGAAAATTTACTTATATTTTTAAATGGAATAAAACTCAGTTTATCTTGCAATTTCCACATGGGTGACTTGGTCCCATTTATAAATCTAAGAAATATGGGATTGTTGTGATCTTATTTTAAAGTATTTTGAAATGTTTTGCTACTTCATCCCCCTAGCAATTATTCCAACATTACTCATCAGTTATGTTCAATAGTGCTAAAATACACTAAAATATAAGAAAATGAATGATGGAATTTCTTGGAAGGATAATGCAATAGTGAGGTAAATCCTCACCATTATATCATCCTTCAGTTTTCTTATTCAGTTCCCTGAAGTATTGCTTCAGCTGTAATGAAGGGATGAAAGAAATCTGGAGACCTTATTTGTTGTTTCTTTTTAAAATTTTATTTATTTATTTTTTGGCTGCATTGGGTCTTTGTTGCTACATGCGGGCTTTCTCTAGTCGCAGCTAGCAGCTGCGCGGGCTTCTCTTGTTGCAGAGCATGGGCTCTAGGCATGCAGGCTTCAGTAGTTGTGGCTTGTGGGTTCAGTAGTTGTGGTGCATGGGCTTAGTTGCTCCATGGCACGTGGGATCTTCCTGGACCAGGGATTGAACCCATGTCCCCTGTATTGACAGGTGGATTCTTAACCACTGCACCGCCAGGGAAGTCCCCCTTATTTGTTCTTTCTTTCTTTCTTTAGATTTCATTGAATATAGTTGAGAATTTAGAATTTTTATTTTCTGCCTTTAATTGCAAAGGGCAGAAAATTGACATAAGGATACTTTCCACAATTATTAGACAAATCAGAAGATGAGTGTAAAGAGATAGGGAAAAGTACTCTAGACCCTAATAACGGTGGATAATTGATTGTATAAGTGAAATTCAGACTGTAAGTTTTTTTTTAATAAATTTTATTTATTTATTTATTTAATTTATTTTTGGCTGCGTTGGGTCTTTGTTGCTGCACACAGGCTTTCTCTAGATGTGGCGAGTGGGGGTTACTCTTGGTTGTGGCACACGGCCTTCTCATTGTGGTGGCTTCTCTTGTTGCGGAGCACAGGCTCTAGGCACGTGGGCTTCAGTAGTTGTGGCTTGCAGGCTCTAGAGCGTAGGCTCAGTAGTTGTGGCGCACAGGCTTAGTTGCTCCGCAGCATGTGGGATCTTCCTGGACCAGGGCTCAAACCTGTGTCCCCTGCATTGGCAGGCAGATTCTTAGCCACTGCACCACCAGGGAAGTCCCCAGACTGTAAGTTTTAGATGATATGCTAGATGAATAAAGATGTGCCTCTGATCCTGTTGTAAGAATAGCCTGAATGTATACTTCATTTAGGCACTACTATTCATTGTGAATCCCCATGAGAATGCAAATATAGCCTAGGCAATAGTTTTCCTTTTAACTCTAATGAAAATGAGTACTTTCTGAAATTTAATTTGGTGGTGTTATGTGGAATAGAAAAGAGGAGGATGAGGTTGTAAGCATGTACATTAGTGAGGCTCTTGCTTTGATAACGACTAGGCCCTGATTTAATTGTTCCGAGTCTAATTGTTCCTTGATATCTCCCCTTACCATCATTGTCTATTAATTTTCCTTGTGATTCTACTTAATATTTGTTGAGTTGTTAGGCTGATTCTATTACCTGTAAGTTCCCCACCCCAAGATTAAGCAGTCATTCAAACATTTTAAATTTATTGTTTGTGTTTATTTCAAATTCTCTATTTTTGAATGTCACAGTTAAATTCAGGTATAATTGGCATACAACATTTTAGTGTCAGGTGTACAATGTAATGATTTGATATTTGTATATATTGCAAAATGATCACCACACTAAACCTTTTTGAAGTGTCAAATTATTGCATTTTGTCGCCAGATTCCCCATTTTTCACTACTGCAAGTTATTTATTTATTTTTCAAACCTAGAGGAGCAAGGCAGTATGCCCTTGAGATTACTTTCATAGCAAATGACTGGGCTAGAATAAGACATATGAATATGTCTTCTCTTCATAAGAAATATATTAACATGTATAAACTATGGCAAATTATTTTCATTTCTATACTTCTGCATAGTTGACCTGATGGAGAAGAGCCAGGAAAAGGAAGACCAGCATTGGTGGAAAGTTGATTTTGTCAACAACAAAACACTGACTAAAGAGAGAAATAGTGTATTAGGAAAAGCATTTTCTCTGGGTACAAACTCTATTTTATCAAGAAAAATACCTGGTAAATATGACTCATATGGAATGAATTTGGATTCTCTTTCAGAACTAATCATTAGTAATAGACACTCCTTTGTAAGGCAGCCTTATGAGTTTAATACACATGGGAAATTACTCCTCTGTACAAAGCACAGGTCATTCTAGAGAGAAATCTTTAGAATATGATAGAACTGGAAAAGCCATTAGTCAAAATAAGGACATATTTCAGCATCAAGATACTCAAACTCTGAAGCTTTCTTCTGAATATAGTGAATGTGGGAAAGCCTTCAATGAGGGGGCAACTTTCATTACCCATAAGAGAGCAAGCTCATGGGAGAAGCCCTATGGAGGTAATGAACATGTCAAAGCCTTTTCTGATAGACCAACATTCATCAGGGAACTCATACAAGGGAGAATCACTATGAATTGAATGATTGTGGGAGGTGGTCTGTTGGTGAGAAGTCAACTTTAAGTAAGCACTATGGAGTTATCATGGGGAAGAGATACTGTGAGTGTATTGAAAGTGAATAGTTTCAGAAAGAAGTCACTCCTTCAGCGAATTTATAAAGGAGAGAAAACCTTTAACTGTTATGAAGATTGGGAAGTATTCTGCAAGAACCCAAATTTCTTGCAGCATCAAGAAACACATATAGGGAAAGAAGTCTATAAAATTAATCAGTGTGCTACTGCATTTTACAAGAAGCCAAAGCTTCCTACATATCAGAAAACAGATGTAAGAGAAAAACTCTATGAATGTAGTGAATGTGGGAAAACCTTCAGCCATAAGTCATCTCTCATCCTACATCAGAGGATACACAGAGGGGAGAAATGCTATGAATGCACCAAATGTGGGAAAACCTTTGGGTATAGGTCAGGCCTCGCAGTACATCAGAGAACACACACAGGGGAGAAACCCTGTGAATGTAATGAATGTGGAAAAAATTTCTGTGAGAAGTCAAATCTCCATGTACATCAGCGAACACACAGAGGGGAGAAACCCTATGAGTGTAATGAATGTCAGAAAGCCTTCAGTGATAGGTCAGCTCTCACAGTACCTGAGGGAATACATACCGGGGAGAAACCCTATGAATGTAAGGAATTTCTCCCAGAAGTCAAACTTCATTAATCATCAGAGGACTCACACAGGAGAGAAACCCTATGGATGTCACAAATGTGGAAAATCCTTCTCTGTGAAGTTGAAAGTGAGGGAACATCAGAGAACACACACAGGAGAGAAGCCTTATAAATGTAATGAGTGTGGGAAAACTTTCTACCATAAATCATCCCTCACAGTACATCAGAGAACCCACACAGGGGAGAAACCCTATGAATGTAACCAATGTGGGAAAACCTTCTACCAGAGTCATTCCTCACAACACATCAGAGAACACACTAGGGAGAAACAGTACAGGTGTAATGGAACCTTTCACCAGCATCTCGATTTCAGTAAACAGCAGAGAAACAGCACTAAGAAGAAACCCCTGTCAACATCCTGAAACCTTCACCCTCTTGTTGGACTCATTGCATAGCAGAAACAACCTGGGACTGAGGTGGGGGACCCAGTATATATGAGAAATCTTTTGCCTAGAAGTGACATTTCATTGAGTAACAAATAATATTTGATAACTTTATTAATATTTTGAAGATGTTACAGTGTCAAAAAAAGTTTAAAAAGGAGGCCTTTTGCAGAATATGTATAAGTATGCTATGTAGAGAAACTTTTCATGATAGGTTTGCTTATTGGAATGCAGCATTGTAGGAAGTATATGTATATTTGCTTAATAACTCATAAAGTTTTTATTTCATAATTTTAATATGAATATGAAGTGTATAAGTTGTCCCATACTTAATACCTATGTAATTTTTTGTTTTAATTGAAATTTTTATTGAGATAATTGTAAATTGTAAGATGCAGTTGTAAGAAGTAATACAGAGAGACCTCATGTACCCTGTACCCTGTTTCCCCCAATGGTAACATCTTGTAAAAATACAGTACAAATATCAGCCAGGATAATGACATTATTGATATAATCCACCAATTAGTTCAGAATTTCTCAATTTTATTTGTACTCATTTATGTGTAGGTATATTTAGTTCTGTGCAATTTTATCACATGTGTAGGTTTATGTATCCACCATTGGCTGTGGCATCTGTTGACTGTGTTATCTATGACCACAGATATTTCATGATATTCAGGGGTTATTAGTTTCTCCGGTATTATAATTATGTTTTTCAAAAGAGTCTCTATATTTTAGAGATAGAAAAATAACATATGCTGCAGCATTCAGATAATTGAAATACAGGCAACAATACCATGAGCTTGGAGATATATATGTATTTAATTGGATCATCTGTTCTTTCATTTCCAGGATTTGTTTTTATAACTTGTATATTTATTTGTTGACTACATTAGGTTACAAATACTTTCTCTTAGACTGTGGCTTATCTTTTAATTTTATTTATGCTATATTATACTGTATAGAAGTTTTAAGTTTTGATGCAAATATAACAATCTTTCTTAGGTCTAGAAATTCTTTTCTAGACTGAGGTTGCAAAGATATTCTTCCAAAAGACTGAAGTTTTGCTTTTCATGTTTATATTTTTACATCTGTCTGGATTTTTTTTTTTTTGGCGGTACGCAGGCCTCTCACTGTTGTGACCTCTCCCATTGCAGAGCACAGGCTCCGGACACGCAGGCTCATCGGCCATGGCTTGCGGGCCCAGCCGCTCCGCGGCATGTGGGATCTTCCCGAATCGGGGCACGAACCCATGTCCCCTGCATCGGCAGGTGGACTCTCAACCACTGCGTCACCAGGGAAACCCTGGAATTTTTTTTTAATGGTATAAATTAGTGATCTACTTTCTTTTTTTTTGCAAATGGAAAAGTCAGTTGTCTCAGGGCCACTTTTGAAGGTCTGTATATTCGTTTTCCAGGGCTGCAGTAACAAAGTACCACGAACTGGGTGGGTTAAAATAATAGGAATTATTCTTCCAGTTCTGGTGATTAGAAGTCTGAAATCAAGATGTCAGCAGGGCCATGCAGTCTCTGAAGGCTCACGGGGAGAATGTCTTCCATGCCTTTCTCTCAGCTTCTGGTGGTGACTCTCCATCCTTGGTGTTCCTTGGCTTACAGCTGCATAACTCCAATCTCTGTCTCCACTGCCTCATGCATTCTCCCTTCTTGTGTCTAGGTCTCTGTGCCCCTTTTGGAGCCAGCAAGGCCATGGCCCTGTCTGCTTGCCCAGAACCTCAGGCGCAGCCTAGTTGCCTCAAACCTAGCTCCTGCCGGTGCGCAGCACACACTGGTGGAACTGAGCAGAACCCTGCACCCACCCCTATCCCCCTGCCAAGGACAAAGGCCCCTCCATATCCCCTGCCTCTTATTTACAAAAAAGTACTAGATCTATGGCTAGCACAATTTCAAGAACTTGGCCTTAAGAGAACGGGATTAACACTGTTGCTCATAATAATCTGTATCTTTGTGGGCATCAAAATAATCGTAGCTTGTTCTGCCCGTATATGTAAATGGTCAACTACAATTGTCAGTAAAGACATACTACAGACCCGTGTCGACATCTTCCACTCTAAGTATATGGTGCCCTATGTCAGCATGAAGTTACAGAAGACAGACCTTCGACCATAATCCAATAAAAATGGAATGATGTTCTGACAAGTGGGGATTTGTAAGCAGCTTTTGGCAGGAAAAAGCTCTTTGCCGGAAAGAGCTCTCTGCCAGAGGCCGCTTTTGTCTTGTCACTAACCTTAAACCAGGTGCCCCCATGCTCTACTTATCTCTGGCCCTATTGATCACATAATACCTTGCCTAATCTGTGGGTTCTTTCCATAGATCAAAGAAGTAGAAATGAATAAGTAATTAACACATGACCCGATCTCTTCCCTAGCTTCCCCTTCAGTAATCTTGCGAGAACGAACTGTGTGAGCAAGACAGTATTGAAAGAAAGATCATAAGAAGTCAACAAGCCTGCATGATAAGCCTGCATTCAGTGGGGGATGGCGATGCCTCTGACCTCCTGTCTCAAGGATTAACTGAGATTACTTACCTTTTCCCTTTAAGAACTTCTCATGGCTGAGCAGAATCTTGGGAGGTGGGTTTTGGGGAGTCCACCATCTCCCCAGCATTCTGATTAAAAGCAACTTTCCTTTCTACCAACATTTGTCTCTCTTGAGTATTGATTTCTGAGCAGCAAGCATCCAGACCTGATTTGGTAACACTGGGACGGCAGCACAAGGTGTGTGGAGGGTGGGGGTCTTTTCTTTTTATTGCCTTGTTGCACAGGCTAAACATCTGGGACAACGTTGACTACAAGTGGTGAGTAGACATCTTTGCCTTGTTCCCAGTCTTAGGAGGAAACCGCTCTTTATTTCACCATAAAATATGATGTCAGATATATGTTATTCCATAAATGCCCTTTATTAGATTGAGGATGATTCCTTTAATTCCTAATTAATTGACAGTTTTAAATCATGAATGTGTTGAATTTTTTCAAATGCTTTTTCTACATTATAAAGATATGGTTTTTCTTTTTTAGTATGTTAATATAATGAAATACATTGATTTTGAATGCTAAGGCAACCTTGCATTTCTAGGATAAATCCTATTTGGGCACGATGCATTACCATCTTTTATAGATTAGAAGTTTCAATTTGCTATTTTTTTAAAAGAATTTTTGCATCTATGTTCATGAGAGTTATTGATCTATGATTTTCTTTTCTTGTGATGTCTTTGTCTGGCTTTGGTATGTGGGTAATGTTGACTCGTAAAATAAGTTGGAAAATGTTTATTCCTAGAAGAGTTGGTGTACAGTTGTTACTAGGTCTTCCGTAAATGTTTGGTAGAATTCACTTGTGCCATCTGGCCTGTACTTGTTTTTGTGGGAAAGTTGTCAGCTACAAATCGTTTAAATAGGGCTATTCAGGTTTTCTCTTTCTTCTTGAGTGAACTTGGGTAGTTGTACCTTTCAAGGACTTTTTCTGTTTCAACTCTTCAGGTATCTTTCTGTTAGCAATTTCTAATTTAATTCTATTCTGGTGCTAGAATATACCTTGTATGATTTCCATTCTTTTAAATCGTTTGAAACTTGTATTATAGCCCGTATTATGTGCACTTGAAAAGAATGTGTATTATGCTGTTGTTGGAGTATTCTATAAATGTTGAGTTAGTTGATAGTCATTTTCTGTCCATTTGTGCTATCAATTACCTGAGAGTGTTGAAATATCTAACTATAATTGATAAACTGCCTACAGCTATTTCATGTTTTTATTTCATGAATTTTGAAGCCCTGTTATAAATGTATTGGAGCTAGAAGATAACTGCTTTGCTGTTGGATGGTCTCTAGGGGCCATTCAACAGGGCCATTTCTACAGAGAAGAAATTTCCCATCTCTTGCTGGAGGGTGAGTCCCTGGTTGACAATGCACAGGGGTTGCGGAGGAGGGCAAGTGTGTATGGAATGAGGGGAATGTCCCGTATACGACTGGCCACTAATTTCACTGCTTTCCTTTCATGTCTCACTTCTGTCCTCCACAGTATTAAGCATTTCTGAGTCTGGAGCCAAGCTGGTTCCTTCTTGTCCTTAATGCAAGTAGTATAAATGGTCTCTGCTTCTGCTCTGATACAGTAGCTGTCCTCCTTCCATATTTCAAATTTTTATTGAGACCTCCTATTTACTGGTGGTTTTTCATTTGTTCTCTTCATTGCTGTGGTATTATAAATGTAAAAACTTTCTAGGATTTTAATGCTGTCCAGAGAGATGTTTAACAAAAGCACACTTTCTAGTCCTTTTCCCTTAAGCATTTTGCTTAGCTGACTAAACCCTGAATGATTTTCGTAGCCCCTGCCGATCAGTTGCCACACACTCCCTATGTCTTAGCTTTTCCCAGCTCTACCTCTTGAACCTACTTGTTGGTATCACTTGCTCTCAGGTACCAACTCAATGTCAGTTTTACTCTTGCAACTACTTCGGGCACGTTGCTTTGGACTTTTCCTGGTCCTCATTACCTACGGTTCAGCCTTGCCCTCCATGCTGTTATGTGCCTTTCTTTTCAATGAAAGTACAGTGAGAAAGGTCATGGAGCTGCAAAAGTGAACGTCCATATTTTATCCCCTAACTGGCTATCAGGGTGGGGGATGAGACAGGAAGAATTTAAAAGGTTATAATTTAGGAGTGTGACTACAAGGAGTGATCACATATTCACCAGTATTTTGACCTTAAGATCTTAAATGATCCACACAGAAAGTAAATAGCACCTACCGAATAGGTAAGAATTGTTTTTTTTCATGTTTTTTTACGGTACGCGGGCCTCTCACTGTTGTGGCCTCTCCCGTTGCGAAGCACAGGCTCCGGAAGCGCAGGCTCAGCGGCCATGGCTCACGGGCCCAGCCGCTCCGCGGCATGTGGGATCCCCCCGGATTGGGGCACGAACCCATGTCCCCTGCATTGGCAGGTGGACTCTCAACCACTGCGCCACCAGCCCGGTAAGAATTTTAAGAATTGTAACATCTTGTCTCAAGTACTCAACAAGTAATCTGTAACCTAGATTCTTTGCTGAGTTAGTGTTAGAATTATCAATTGAATACAATTATTGAATTTCCAAAGCTCTTTGTTCAAGTCAAGTACTGGTAAAGGATCAATCCTAGGGCAACCCTTGAATTCTGAAAAGGAACCATTTTGCAACATATCCTTTTTTTTTTCATGTTCACATCTCTGAAACTGGGGGGTGTGTGTCTTAAAAATTAACAAAGTGTTTTCTCTTGTCAATCCATTGGCATCTTTAAGATCTGATGAAATGTGACACATCCCCTGTTGTTCTTCCTGCATTTTCATGCAAAAGTCTCTTTTTCTAACTAATTTTTTCCCCCAGACTGCCTTACCACAATCAGTGAAATGCTTCCCAAGGACTCTGATCACACTTCAGTTGTATTAAGGAAGGTAATGCTTAAAAGAGAACAGTAAAAGCTAACCATAATTAAAAACATTGATAACTTAAGGTACGTATAAAAGGAGACTTGGAAAAACAGGCTAATTTATACACGTTTGAAACTTGGACTTCAAATCTACCCTCTGGTCTCAGTGCACATGGATTCTTGTGATCTTATTTGACTCCAAGTCCCAGATAGATTATATACATCAGCCAATTAGAAGACATATATGATAAACGAGTCAAATCCAGAACAGATGCTCAGATATAATCTTATGAGGGCAGGAGAAACTGGGAGGCATTCATCATTCTAGAGGTCACTGAAGCAGAATCACATCACTTGTGATGCCATCTTACGGTATCCAAACAAGTGAGTGTATTACAGAATGCCGAAGGGCAGATGCTGAGTCACCACCCTAACCATTCCATGTGGGCTGCTCTGAGTTGGAGTCAAATATTCTGGGACTATCTCTTGAAGGAAGGCAAGTCTCAATCTGTGGCCCTCCTCCATTCCTTCTTTGAGATTAACTACATTTCCCCTAAGTTAACATGTCACTTCCCTGTTATCTACGTCCAGTTAACTGCTTCAGGTTACCTTTGATCAGGGTAAACCAGTTACAACCCCACCTTCTCAAGGTAATAAATATTGCATCCATATCCCCCCCACCATTTTTCATGTATGGATATTAGTCATTGGTGGATAACTGAAATATAGGTGACTGGGCAGCCTCCTGAGCACTGCTTGGGGAATCATCAGTCATTGTTTAGAAAATCAGGGCTGCAATTAGGAGTTCATTGTATAGTAACTTCCACTCTATTTATGTATTTCCAATCACGTTTCTCTCAACTGTTGCACAAGCTTCTTGTTTTAGCTTAACCCTTTGCGGTGTCCTAGCTCCACACCCCAAATGAATTATTTGTGCATATTTTAAGCCTGGTCATCCCAAACATACTCTCCAAGCCTTCTCAGAGTTCCAAAGAGTAAATTTAATCAGAGAAGTGAGAAAATGCAGAAAGAAAGGAAAACAGTCAAGCAAGACAAAATAACAATAGTTTAGCCATTAAATAAAGTCAAGGACCTATAGTTCCTCCTGAAGGGCTATAGATAATATTCTGAGCAATGTCCTTTGAGCTGTTTTGCAGATACTGAATCTGCCACCAGGTGGAAGAAGTTAACTGTATGCTGCCCACAAGCAATTAGACCCCAGAAAGGATGGAAACAGAAGGCTGACAATGTTGACTCTCGATTAACTCACCACCAACCAATCAGAAGAATGTCCACGAGCTGATCATGCACCCCAGTCCCCCCTTCCTCACCCTTTTAAACTCTTTCCCTGAAAGCCATCAGGGAGTTTAGGCCTTTTGAGCACTAGCTGCTTGGACCCCTTGTTTGGTGCCCTGCAATAAATGGTGCACCTCCTTCACAACCCAGTGTAAGTAGATTGGCTTTATTGTGCATGGGCAAGCAGACCCAAGTCTGGTTCAATAATGATGCTGCAAATACAAATGACTTTTTGGGGGTATATGAAATATTAAAACAAGTTGAGTCTGAAGAGAAAAATATCAGAACTCCCTCTCCTGACTCCTTTGTTTGGTTCAGAACATGGACGGTGAAGAAATTTAAGGAAATAAGAGAGGTTCAGTGTTGAGAGACAAATTAAATACATTTAAATATATTTCAACTTCATTTAACATGTTTCAACATGGTGTAGGTACCCTACTTGGCTTTAATTTGGTGGGGGTGTCATCTGAGATGGCAAGACCTGGAAGCACCCCAACAGACTAGCTGCACCCAGGAAAAAGAACTACTTATGTTCTTGAGCAGTTGCCTTGTGGGGAGGAGGGGGAGGGGTCCCACATCCTGTAGTGTGTGGGGTGTACTGCACGAGTAGCTCTTCTCCACGTTCCTGTGAGGCCACAGGCTGTAGTACGTGTGTGCAATAACAGATTTCCATGCCCACTATACCTCCAACCACCCCCTCAACCTAAAACTAACATATTGTATAACCAGAATTTGGAGAGGGCTACTCAGGGCTGGAAGGAAATAGGAAAACACAAGGCACGTGATTTGAAGAGAAGCCAAAGTTCCAATTTCTCAGAGAATGTGAACAAAGGAAACATGTTCTGCTTGGAGAAATACAAGGTTCTTGCACTTAAAAATGCTGGGTAGGGTATGTAGTTCTAGTAACACTGACTGAACAGCACAGTATAGACATTTTCACTCTACCCATCTGAGGAACAAGGGCAATCAATTCACTGTGTAGCATAACAAAGTGCTTGGTAGTTAAATACTTTAAATGATTTTCCAGTGAGGGAAGTTATCTGAATAACTCTTACTATATCCTGAGAATATAAAACTAAGAGTGATGTTAAAAATATTTAAGTCTTCAGAGTACAAGCATGTGATTGAAGACCTCATTTAATGGGGATCTTTCCTGTGGACCCGCTGGTGGATGTGGAGGTTGGAGCTCTGGCTGAAGCCCTTCCCACACTTGCTGCACTCGTAGGGCTTCTCTCCAGTGTGGACTCTCTGGTGGATGAGGAGTTTGGAGCTCTGGCTGAATCCCTTCCCGCACTTGCCGCAGTGATAGGGCTTCTCCCCAGTGTGGACTCTGAGGTGGATGCGGAGGTCTGAGCTCTGGCTGAAGCCCTTCCCACACTCATAGCACTGGTAAGGCTTCTCCCCCGTGTGTGAGCATCGGTGGATGTGAAGGTTTGAACTCTGACTGAAGCCCTTCCCACACTCTCCACACTTGTAGGGCCTCTCCCCCGTATGGATGCGCTGGTGGATGTGCAGGTTGGAGCGCTGACTGAAGCTCATACCACACTCCCCGCACTCATAGGGCTTCTCTCCAGTGTGCACTCGCTGGTGGATATGCAGTTTGGAGCTCTGAGTAAAGCCCTTCCCGCACTTGTCACATTTGTAAGGCTTCTCGCCTGTGTGGACTGAGTGATGAATGAGCAGACTTGAACTCCTCGTGAAGCCCTTCCCACACTTGTCGCACTTATAAGGCTTCTCATCTGCATGGACTTCGCGGTGGATAAGGAGACTTGAGCTTCTCGTGAAGCCCTTCCCGCACTGATCACATCTGTAGGGCTTTTCTTCTGTGTGGTCCCTCTGATGAAGGACTAGCTCTGAGCGCTCACTGAAGTCCCTACCACACTGACTACATCTGTATAGTTTCTCAGCAGTGTGGATTTTCTCACCTGGGTGACCACCTGGGCTGGTGGTACGTATTTTCCCACAGTCATAATGGGTGCAGGGCTTCACCTCTGCATGAGCTCTCTGATGACTACAACTGATCACCCATGACTTCCAACCACAAATGTCCTTGTGTTTACAGTCAAAGGGATCCAAGGATTCTTTCGACTGGCCAATCTGGCATATTGTCTCACCTCTGAATGAGGGCGAGACCACTTCTTTTACATCAGACACAAGTTTATTTTGAAGGTTCTCTGAACAATGGTCGATGGGAGGACTTTTGCTCTCTGAGATTTTCCTCTCAGTGCTTTCTTCAGTTAGAAACAGACTTTTGCTTTCCTGAGGATCTTGGGGCTCATTCTTACAGAAGGTCACTGAGTCCTGTGTGGCCATTTGGCTTGGGACTTTCAAAGACAAATATTCTTCACTTTCCATGTTTTTTAAATCATCACTCTGAAGAGTCACCAAACTGCTTTTGTTTTTGGAAATATGAGAAGATGCTTCTCCCCACTTTTGACAAGGGGGAACATCTAGTTCAGGGTTCCTGTACACTGAAGATTCACAATTTAATCCTGACTCCCAGTTATTGTACTGGACATCTCTTCCAATATTTGCCAGGAGGAAAGCTATTCAGGTAAGAGATAACCTAAGTCCTTTCTGTTGATTCTCCACAGAATTTTCATTCAAGTCTCCTAGGGAACAAAGAGAATTCAATGATAACAGACAAAGGGTAGATTTCAAGATTTCAGAACTGCAGTGCCTAAGGTAGCTAGCAAAAAGTTCAGTCTTGTCCGTATAGTCATGTCCTTTGGGTTAATGTCAGGATGGGAGAGGGCATGGGTACACAAGACAGAAATCTTGTCTCTGCTTTTAAGTAAAGCCAATAAAAGTATTCATATCCCAGCCCTGCAGATGGCTATGGATCCCACATCCTTGCCACATTTCATTTCACTTTACTTCATTTTATTTTAATTAAATTTGCATTTAATTGGTAATCTAATAGGTGCTGGGGATACAAAGAAGAAAATAGAAATCCTTTTGCTTGACACACTAGAGTCTACTGGGAAGAAGGACAAATAGGTCAACAATAATACCATGTAAGTGCTACCATAGATGCGTGCGCAGCCAGTCACGGGAGCACAGAGTAGGGGCATTCAGCTCAAACCTTGGGGAAGATTTCTGGGAGCAAATGTAAGGAAAAAAATAAAGTGAAATGTGGAGAGAAAATATGACATGTTCAGAGGGCTTGGTGTGTACTCAGAGACTCCTCCGAGATGTAAAGCTATTAAAGGATTACAACTGGGAATGAAACTGACTTTGATTATAAACACCATCAAAAATGAGCAAGACTTTAAGGCAGAGAGAGAGAGAGCGCTGCTGCAGTGAATCAGAATAAAAGTGGTAAGGAGGATAGTTACAGAGAGAAAGGGAGAGATTCATTCTAAATCACATGATGACTGATTAAACTCAAAAGGGAAAGGAGGCACCAAGCATGATCCTCAAGTTCCTTGAGTGACTTAGGTATGGGGGTACTATACCATAACATAGGGAATCAATCTCCAAGGCTGGAGTGGGGAAGGGTGACAGATAACAAACTCAGAATCTGACTTGTTTAATTTGTGGTGTTGGTGGAACATTCTTGCACTGTTCAGTAAGCAGTGAGATACATGGGTCTGGAACTCCTGGGAGAGAACTGTGCTAGGAATACAGATTTTAGACTTACTGTAGATGGTCCCTGACTTACGATGGCTTGACTTACGATTTTTCGACTTTATGGTGGTGTGAAAGCGATGTGCATTTAGTAGAAACAGTACTTTGAATTTTGATCTTTTCCTGGGCTAGCAATATGCTGGACAATACTCTCTCATGATGCTGGGCAATGGCAGCAGCCACAGCTCCAAGCAATATGCCTATAACCATTCTGTTTTTCATTTTCAGTATAGTATGCAATAAACTTCAGGAGATATTCAACACTATTATAAAATAGGCTTTGTGTTAGATGATCCTGCCCAACTGTAGGCTAATTTAAGTGTTCTGAGCATGATTAAGGTAGGTTACGCTAAGCTATGGTGTTTGGTAGATTAGGTGTATTAAATGCATTTTTGACTTAACACTATTTGCAATTTACAATGGGATTATGGGAATGTAACCCCATTGTAAGTCAAGGAAGATCTGTGGTATGTATGTTAGTCAAAACAATTAGCGTGAAGATCCTCATATTACACTGAAATGACAAAAAAACAAAACCAAAACCACAGTAGTCTTGGAAAAAAAAGAAAGGTTGTTATCACTAGAATGCTGGGGAACTCCTAGTGATAAAGAGCAGATGGATGAGGTCTAATGGAGAAAGTAGGAAAAAAACAAATGCACAGCTCAAATTATGTACAGAAAAAGCCTCCTAAAGAAGTAGAAGAAATTCTCAAGAAGTCCTAGAAATTCCAAGCTCAGAATCAACAATTATGAAGTAAGAGAGGTTTATTCTGGAAAGAGGTTTATCAAATCATGTTAAGCATTTCTAATGGCTCAACTAGTTGCTGCAGCACCACTCTCCCAATGACCCTCTTCCCCACAAAAAATGAAATACTGGGAGGCTAAAGGTAGCGGCCTCGTATAAAGCTTCAAAAACAAAATAAATTGTCCGCCAAACAAGGACTCCTAATAGTATTATTTGGGCTGAAGAGGGAAGCAGAAGCTGAGGTAATGCCAAACCTGTAAAATGACAGGATTGAGGTACAAAAAGAAACAACTGACTCCACATGTACCCAGGATAAAGCCTCAAGAAAAGCTGTGAAGTGGAATTTCCGACAAGGAGGATACCCCAGAGCTGGAGACTGAAGCAGGGCATGTCCCAGATAACTTACTGGCCTGAACAGGTAACCTCAAAAAAAAAGGGTCTACGTCACTCACCATCTGGATTCTTATTAGATCCATCCCAAGCCCAGTCAGCAGAGGTGTCCCCTGTAAGTAGAACACGCATGCACCAAAAAGGGTTGAGCATCAGCTGAGGATGTACACTCCAGTATCATACTGCGAACATAAGACTTTTTGGTGGGGGGGAAGACAATTGAGAAAACATAAGGAGACAAAAAAAAATGTAGAAAACTAACATCAATAGAGACACAAACTCAACAAACAGAGGAAATAGAATTTAAAAGGTTCATAATTAAAATCCCAGAGAAATCTGAGGGGATATCACATCTAAAAAAAAAATGGGACAATCGGGCTTCCCTGGTGGCGCAGTGGTTGAGAGTCCGCCTGCCGATGCAGGGGACACGGGTTCGTGCCCCGGTCTGGGAATGCTGCAGAGCTGCTGGGCCCGTGGGCCACGGCTGCTGAGCCTGCGTGTCTGGAGCCTGTGCTCCACAACGGGAGAGGCCACAACAGTGAGAGGCCCGCATACCGCAAAAAAACAAACAAACAAAAAAAAAACGGGACAATCTAATAATAAAATATAAACACACTGCTATGAAGAATAATCAGAATTCTTCTAAATTAATGAAAGGATTGAAAAAGATGATAATCATAATATTTAAGATCTACTATGCTCATTTGAAGCACTCAGATACTGGTCGCATGATCTTATGTGAGAGGAACTATTAGGACACCCATTCTACACCAGAAGAAACCAAGGTTGAAATGATCAAGTAACTTGTGTCATAGCTACCAGGTGTCAGGCAGTCTGATTCTAAGGCCTGCAATCTAGATGGGCTGAAGAGCAAAACGAACATCTGGCTAAGGTGGAAGATTGAGGGGTACTCCTGGAATGAAGAGTAAAGGGTAGACAGATGCAAAGATAAAAGTTAAAAGCCCATCTTGTAGGAGTTCGATGAATATAGTGGAGGTAGAATGAAGGGAAAGAAATGATCAAAGAACTAACAGGAAAAAAATGTTTTCTAGAATTCAAGATTCAGAGGTCACTAAATGTGAAACCTCAGGACGTCAAGGAAAAAACCCCCAAACAAACCGAGAAAATGCTAAAAGCATCCAGACAGAAAAGCCAGGTTATGTGCAAATATAAATGAGAATTATATTGACAATGAACTACTAAACAGCAATACTGTATACCTCAAGTCAACTGAGCAATATCTTCTAATTTTGGAGGTAAAGTGATTGTGAAGTTAGCATTCCATTCTATACCCAGCCAATCAAACATTTCAGTGGGAGGAACAGACACTTTGTCAGATAAGAAAGGATTTAAACAATTACTGAAACAATTATTCAGCAATGTACTGTAGCAAAAAATTTTTAAATTACTTTAAGAATAAGATGATATACAATAAATAGCAGTGAGCAAAGAAGTCAAGAAAACAGACAAGCTGAATCAATCGTTGATATATAAAAGAAAACAATACTTAACCAAATCAACCAAAACTCTGTAAAACAGAATGGAAAGGAAAAAAACCCAAATAAAATATATTTTAAAAAGCAAGTATTAGTTTTAGGAAAGGGAAAAAACAAAAAAAAGGAACTGTAATCATATTATACTATTTGACTCTGCAGGAACAAGAATTATGAAGTCAAAGCAACTAAGCATTGATCCCTGATGCGACTGACAAATTGTTAGAAAGATGGGCATGTTGGGAGAAATAATGTAAAAGAGCTAAATCTTCATCTATGACATAAAGAAGTCAATACAAAATATCAAATATTGATAAACTGAAAAAAATTGCAGTATACCATAATATAATAAATTCAAATTAAAACTATAATGAGGTGCCATTTTCTACCCGTTAACACTGGAAAAAACCCAAAGCATGGTGACACAGCTTGTAAGTGTAAATTGGTATCACCCTCCCCCCCAGAAGGACATTTTAACAATTATGTATCAAAGTCACAAATGCATGCACTCAGCAGTCCAGCTTGGGGGTTTTATTCTTCAGATTTCCTGGCACAGTTGTGAAGTGATACTTGCTCAAGATTTAGTCACTGCAGACAGTTTGTGACAGCAAATGACCAGAACCTGGGTAGAGTGGAGTCAGGGACATGAAAGAAAGTTTTCACTGTGCACCTTTTAATTTGTTTTTATTTTTATAGTATAACTTTAATAATTTAAAAACATTTAGTACATTTGCAAATCTTTTCTTTGCTACTCATGTATAATTTGTTTTCTACCCTTCTCCAGCTTGTCCAAAATCCTCAGTGTACATTTTTTCCCGGCTTTTTTAGGCATAACTGCGAGTAACATTGTGCAATTTTAATGCTTCTTTTCTTAACCATGTGAGTGCATTTATTCTTTAAAAAAAGGAAAATAAGTAGCTGCATGAGCATATTTGTAAATATGAAGGCAAACACCATAAAGAACAAGTGAAAGGATTCAAACTGAGTGCTTTGAGAAGCCACTCTGTGGCATGAAGAGCAGCAGAGCAGGGAGACTGGTTTGTATTATAAGCCTTTCAATAGGATTTGTTTTACCTAGGTGAATGTACTTTTTGTGCACAGTTTGCAAAGTTTAAAAGTAGTGGCAAAAAGAAAAAGGAAAAAAATAACACTGAGAAAAGCTGTGCAGTTTGGAGCAGTTAAATCAGGGAGTGGGCTGAAGTTATTAAAGGCCAAAGGACACTGCTTCAATATCCCTGCTGTACAATACTTGGGAACGGCTGCAGAAATGACAGGTCTATGAAAATCAGTGGAGGAGGAACTGTATTAATGGTAGGTTTTATAAGCAGTAGTGAAATCTTGTGATAACTGTTTTTTAAAATATTTAAATATTATCAAGAATGAGTATGTAATAGTAGAAGACAATGCGGATGTAATGAGAAAAGGGGTCCTTTTACAGGGAGTTAATATGATGTAACAAAGATCTCTAAGACATGATGTGAAACACCCAGTTGAAAAATACATACAGTATAACCTCATAAAATTTTAACACGTATTTGTAAAATGCATACATGGAGAACACAGAAAAAGTGGATACACAAGCTATTATTAGTGACTTTACTTCATAATCTTCATCTGTGTTCTTTGAATTTTGTGATTTTTATATCTTACTTGCATAAAAAAATGTTGGAAAACTATGTTCAATTTTATATCAAAGAAAAAGGAAAACCTAGAGCAGAGCTTGAAACTGTAAGCATAGATCCTACTTCACTTTTGCCTCTCTGCAAACCAGTCTATAAAGCAGTCCCAGTGATCCTGGGTAAATCAGTTCATACCATTTCATTGTTCTAATGGCTCCTCACTGAACTCAACACAAATTCACATTTTTTACCCATGCCTTTAATGCCATGAATGAGCCAGGCCACACTCTATTCTTCCCAGATGCTCCCTGTATTCTAGCCACACTCCTCCTTTTAGGTCTTCGGGTCTTCCCTCACACTATTCTCTTGCCTGGAATATTCTTCCCCTACCCAGTCACCTGTTTAATGCCCATTAATCCTTTGGAACTCAGTTTAAGTATCACTTCAGAAGCTTTCCTTGAAACTCTCAACAATACATACTTCACCCTTGTCCCATCCCATGCCTTCATTCTCTCAGAGCATAATTCTCTGTGCTTCATAGGACTTACTGAATTTATTTATAGTAACATACTGTGTTTACCATAATGTCTCTTTTACAAGACTGTAAGACATATTTCTTTGCTGCTAAACTCTACAGCAGTCAATTTTTAAATCTTGGCTATGTACATATAGCAGCATAAGTATTAGATACGTTGCTTTCCCTCCAGAAACCTGGCTGGAAACAAGAAAATAAATCAGACTTGCAGATCCAATGGTTAAAATAAAAGCATATAAAATAATATGTAATCAGGTCTGAGCCTGTGTGAGATATAAATTGAAAGTTCTGAGAAAAGAAGGAGGTCGAAAGGGAGGGGTAGTCAAAGATTTCACACAGGTAATGGAGTTCAAATAAAATCTTAACAGACAAAAGTAACCAGAAACCAGAGCACGGTAATCAAAGGTCCCAGAACAAGGAAGCATAGAGGACCTCAGGGAAACAGGCTTAGCTGGAAAGGAGGGTGACATTGGGGCAGCAGAGAATAATGCTCTATAGGTAAAAGTAGGGCATGAAGGGCTTTGAAAGCCAGGTGGGGAGTTTAGAGGCTTTACACCAGGAACTAAAGGTAATGGGCATGGAGAATTCTCCATTATATAATGATCTTCAACTTGCTCCAACTGAGAGAGCACATCTGAGAAACACACAGGGATTGGGTGACTGTGTGGGGAAAAAAAAAAAAATTCAGTCCCAAACTCTGGCTTATAAGTGATGGACCAGGTATGGTTTCTTGGACAACTCAGTAAGGTTACCATTCTCCAATTCTTACCAAGTAAAGTTCTTTAGCTGCTTAGAATAATCAGAAACATCCTTTTCTGCCAAAAAGAAATTAGGAAACTGATTCCTGAATTACAGCTCCCGGGGCCCAAGCCCAAATGATATTTAAAATTGAAGAAACAGAGACTGCAGTGCACTGGTGTCCAGGTTCATGTTCTTACTCACTGAGACCAAGTGACTGTAGTCTTCCAGCATCACAGCTGTGTGCAGCTTCCTCTGAGCAGGGTCCAGCAACCCCACTCCTCCTCGGTGAAATCCACAGAGACATCCTTGAAGGTTACTGGTTCCTAAAAGATTAAGCACATTCCTCCTCAACTGACAACCATCTGCACAAATGCCCCAGAAGGAAGGTGAGGTTGGGAGCACTGGAAGAGGGGAGAAGGGTACAGAGGAAGTGTGCAGTTCAAGGATCGGGGTGATGCAAGTTTGGATGGAAAACCTTTCCTTTCTCATCTCCTTTGCTACTTCCTTCCCAATACTTCCCCTCCTGCCCACAACTCACCCAAGCTCAAGCTATCCAACTACTGAATCTCTCCTTATCAGTGTCATATCATGGTCACTGCTGAGTTGTCCTTTCCGCCCCATTCCTACTGTTATCCTGACAACCTCAACACTCATGAGAACAAATTACCCAACAGCTAACCTCACATTTCTTAATCTCTCTCTCTCTCTTTTTTTTTTGGCTGCGTTGGGTCTTCGTTGCTGCAGGCAGGCTTTCTCTAGTTGCTACGAGCGGGGGCTACTCTTCATTGCAGTGTGCGGGCTTCTCATTGTGGTGGCTTCTCTTGTTGCAGAGCATGGGCTCTAGGCACGCAGGCTTCAATAGTTGTGGCTCACAGGCTCTAGAGCGCAGGCTCAGTGGCCATGGCTCACGGGCCCAGCTGCTCCGTGGCATGTGGGATCTTCCCGGACCAGGGCTCGAACCCATGTGCCCTGCATCGGCAGGCGGATTCTTAACCATGGCGCCACCAGGGAAGTCCCTCTTAATCTCTTTAATGCCAATGATCTCTGCCTCAACAACCATAATTAGGGCCATTTCACTATTTGGACCACTGTTCTTTTGAAATATTAATATCTCAAAATTCACACCTTAAAAACATCTTCCTATTTTTTCTCCTCTTCCTCCTCCACGACATCTGCTTTATCAAGATCACCATCCTTTGATCCTTCCTCTTTTTTCCTCTCAGCCAAAGTACACTTCTGATCTCAATTTTTTCCCTAGTCATATAAATCATATGTCCTTTCTTCTTCTAAACTAAGTAGTTGACCATTCCTGGAAGAAATAAAAATAGCACATTTACACACAACCAAAAAATATTCTCCTTAGGTATTCCCACATACCTCTAGCCCTAACCTTTCTCCTCAACTCTAGGCTCCAATTTCCGACCTACATCTACACTTGGATGGCTAAAAGACACTAAGACTCACCAAGCCCCAAACAGAATTCTTGCTCCCAACAATCTCCATCAGTATCTGGTCTTCCCTTGTTGTCCCCATTTTAGTAAAGAGCCACACGACGCACCCAATTGCTCAAGCCAAAATCCTGGAAGTCATTTTGATTCTCTTCTCACTTCCTCATATTTTATCCATCACCAAGTCCTCTCAACTCTGCCTCTGAAACATATCTGAAGCTACCCATTTCTTTTCACCTTGCACTGTTATCATTACAAGTCCCAGCCTTCATTAACTCTCCACCTGCACTAACCTCCTAAATTTGTATCTCTTGCTCCCCCACGTGACGGATTTTCCACACAGCAGCCTGGGTGATCTTTCAAAACACATACCACTCAAGGCATGAAACTCCCCAAAGGCGTTTCCATGGACACCGAGTAAAATCCAGGCTCTTCATCTTGGCCTGCAAGGCCTTGCAGACTGGGGTCCTGTCAATTCTCCAATCTCAGCCTGAGTCCCTCCTCCCTCACAAGTCACCTGGCCCCTGTGACCACATCAAACTCATCCCACTTATGGCCTTTGCACTGGCTATCCCCTCTGCCCAGAATGTTCTTTCTCTACATCATTCAGATCTCAGTCGAACCGCTGCCACCTCAGAGAAGCATTTCCTTGACTGATTAATCCATGGGAGCATCCAGTAACCATCACTTCTCCCTGTTTTATTATCTTTGTACTTATGCCTTATCTCATTTTCTAATCTATACATTTTCCTTCTTGTTTACAGTCTGTCTCTCCCTACTAAGTTCCCCAAGAACAGAGGCTGCCTGATTTGTTCATGGCTGCATCCCCAAGGCCTCAAGCAGGGCCTGGCATGTAAAAAGAGTCCAAGTACTTATTTAGTTAACCTCACAGTGAGTCTGGTTCCCTCCAAGGTTCTATTGATGGAGCAACACTTCTTGAACTACCTCTGGTGAAGGACCAGTTTCTTTTAAGATTTTTCTAACATGTCACAGACATATTTTTTTAAAATACATTTTCTAAAAAGTTACTAGAAAATAAGAATGCAGACACATAAAATACCAATGCCAATTTTTAAAATTAGATTCAACAGATATAAAATTTAAAAAAACTCTCAATTTCTGTCCTTATATCTTTTTTTTTTTTTTTGCGGTATGTGGGCCTCTCACTGTTGTGGCCTCTCCCGTTGCGGAGCACAGGCTCCGGACGCGCAAGCTCAGCGGCCATGGCTCACGGGCCCAGCCGCTCTGTGGCATGTGGGATCTTCCCGGACTGGGGCACGAACCCATGTCACCTGCATCGGCAGGCGGACTCTCAACCACTGTGCCACCAGGGAAGCCCTGTCCTTGTATATTTATAGACTGGTAACAAGCAGTTTGTTGGCTGGCACCAGTCTGCAGGCCACACTCTGAAAAGCAGAGGATGGAATATACACAAAACAACTGAGAGCCAGTGAAGCCGAAAGCAGCGGTTCAACTTGGGGCCAGGGGAGTACCCAATAACCTTCAGAAGTGCTGACACCATAAGCCTCAGCCTGAAGGGGCACCACCCACACCCTCCTCAGGAAACTGAGGACAACCAGGTCCCCCGGCAGGAGCGACTCTACCCCACTAGTCAACAAAGGAGAAGCAGCTGTTTCCTCCCAGGCTCTCCTCTAAAGGTCACAGTCTCCACTGTGTCTGAGGAAGAGGGATGAGGTTGGACTAGAGAAGGCTGCAAGGCCCTGTGCAAAGGTGGGACAAAGAAGCAGCAGAAGCAGAGGCTGTAGCCTTAAAGGCGTAAACACACCTGTTAGGAAAACACGGCTGGGGAGTATCAGTAGATTAGCTACTCCTCTTTTGGACTTTTTCTTTTCAGAGACAACAGGTTTCTTTCTGTCCGTGGCTAACCTCTCCTTGCACATTCTAGATGGAATCCTTCCTTCCCTTCTGAGATTCAAGTCCATCAATGATCTTCCTCCTATATTTTAATCCATCTTCCACCTTGTCATCTGAGATGTCTAAGACTCCTTTCCTACCTTGACCATAATCAAACCACTTCTTGTCAATTCTATCTCCTAAATCTCCCTCCAGCATGTTACTTCTTCTTATCTCTGCTCCTACTATTCTAGGAAAGGCCCTCATTTCTTAGCTAGGCCACAATAACTCTTTACCAAATCTTCAAAATACAAGTTTTGTCATGTTTCAATCCAAGGATCGGACAGTCAAGAGTTATTAATTTTTTAAGATCCCACAGATAAAGTGGTAGGGAGAATTCCATGTTGAAAACAGAAAGGATATGTTGATGGACTACCAACTTTGTAGTAGGCTGAAAATTCCAAGATGAGAAATGGTATGACAGTGGACCAAATTAGAGGACTCAGTGTGTCAGGGGAAAGGAAAAAGAGGAAACAGTGGTCTCGCTAAAGCAAGACAAAGTTGGAAATGAAAGAATCTGAATAATGAATAATCTCCCCAGGTACCAGTGGAGCTATTCAGTCACCCCAAGGTGGAACTTGTGCTTCCTGTGGGAGAATGGACTCAGTATCCTGAGGGCCAACCAAAGTATAAGGCTACAGGATAGTAGTTTCTGTACTAATGTAAATGTCAAACTCCTCGAAACTACATGTATCACATAGCTTAGCACTTCCTTTCCAGAGCCCACCCCTGCTAGATCCAACAATTTACTTAGGGGCAGGAAACAGTGATCCAGAAGGCAGTGATGGGCAGGAGCTGTCATCACCCTGGATTACCTGTAGTCATCCGAATGTCATGCTCTAGTCTAGAAGAGCCCTTTACATGTTGCTCCTGCCCTGACTTATATTTCTCCCATCGTCCCATCCATTTCAGTTTCAGGACAATCAACAACCTCCTTTCTGAAGCATAAGGATATGTTAAATTTCTCCTTCTCAAAGATCTCACAGTATCTTGCATATACCTCTACTATAGCTATTAAATTTGTCTCCCAAATTGGCTATAAGATTCTCAGGGATAGAGGCAACACTCAACTAATCTTTAAATCCTCAGCAACTAGCACAACTGACTCAAAATCTAAATGGTAAATATTTATAAATTCACATTCAATTTAAATCATGAAATAAAACTTGAGATCATCAAACTCAGCACTCTCATTTTAAAGATGAGAAAACTAAGGTTCATAACTGTAAAGCGACTTATCCAAGGTCACAGAGGGAGAGGGGGGTTAAATGGGAGTCCTGCCTTTCAGCACTCAAAGACAACTCCTGGTACACAGAAAACAGTAAGTACTGGTGGAAATGAAGTCCTTTCTTTAAATTCAAAAAATTATTAACATATGCCAGAATCTCAAAATTTCACTATACTAGCAATCCCCAACTTCATCACCGTGAATAATCTTCATTAGGGAAGAGAAAGAAGAGAAGGAAAATAAAAAGAGCACAGGGTTTTACTTATGTCAATCTTTGCTGACGTTCTCAATTATTTTCAAGGCACAGAGATGTCATGCTTTCAGTACCTTGAAGCAGCTTACTGTCCTCTAAACAAACCAATTTTTATAAGAGCTCATGCTGTTTTCCTATGGATGTGAGGATTGTTTTTGCCAAGCATGTAGAGAAGTATTTCACAATAAATGCAATAAATCTTTGGATGTACAAAAGGTCAAAGGGATAAAAAAGTGAAATTCTCCTTTTAGTATGTCTAGGGGAATGGTGCCTAGGAACCTTTAATTCTTAAAAGAACACCACAGATAATTCTGATGCACAGCCTGGTTGAGGAGCATTTCTGGGAGTGATATGGTAATTACGGTGTTGTTATGTAACAAATTTTCTCATGTCTGTAACTCATTCAGGTTTAATAAATGATTATTGGTAATGTGCATACCTTTTTTCATATACATCACCTGCTCATGAAGAAAAGCACCGTAGTTTTTTTGTTTTTTTTTTATCGGTACGCGAGCCTCTCACTGTTGTGGCCTCTCCCGTTGCGGAGCACAGGCTCCGGACACACAGGCTCCGCGGCATGTGGGATCTTCCTGGACCGGGGCACGAACCCGTGTCCCCTGCACTGGCAGGCGGACTCTCAACCACTGCGCCACCAGGGAAGCCCAGCACTGTAGTTTATAATTCTATTTGTTTTCCTGAGACCACTTGGCACTGGACTGAGCATGTAACAGCTTTGAATGACTTTCAATGTGCGTGAAATGCCTGGCAGGAAAAGACATGCTTTGAGAGACAGGACCAGACAAAGATGCTGTGTGGAGTCTTTCAATAAAAGAGCATAGCCCAGTGCTCTGGGGAGTGGGCCAAATTCATGGAAGCAGAGTGGTACACTGAAAACTGAGGTGGAATTTAAAGTCAGCAGATTATCTGTGCAGACTCTAGTGACATCATTTGATAGATATATGCTCTTAGTATCTTAATGTTCCTACACCCATATTTATAAAATAATGTATGTCTCACGCTGAAGTCGGACAATAAATAAAAAAACCACACAACCAAGACAGGACCTGACACCAGATACGCACTCAATTAATGCTGATGTCCTTCCCAAGAAAGAAAGGTTATTTACATTCTCAGAAAAGAGAAACCCCAACTCACCTGGAACTTGGTCATTTCCTCCTCTCAAGAAGGATAGATTCCTGGAAAAGTAGAGTTAGAGAAAGCGAAAAAACCATGAAAATCAAGTCCACCTTGCAGGACATAGACTAAGCAGTCCAGCAAGATTGTAGGAAAAAAGTTAATCAGCTCCTGCTACCTTCACACACCCTCTCCTGGGGTGCCCTTCCTGTCTTTCCAAGCTGCACCTCCCTCGCATCTCTCCACTAGGCTTGGGACCAAACAGGCCAAGCCTCCCCCGCAAACCCATGAGGGTAAGAAACTCCCACTGGCCCCAGCAGCTCTAAGATGTGCCCGTTTCCCCAGGCTTTGCGATTTTTGCCCTAACGCTCTAGTTAGAGCAGTAGGAGCTCTCCGGTAGGATGTGTCTGTCGCCTCTCGGCAGAGATTTCGGCTGCCCGAGACGCCTGAAGGCCTGACTCGTTTCTGGGGTGCGGGGGCTCTGACGCAATCTCTTTTCAGCGAGGACAGGCCTGTGGGGACGGAAACTTCGGTCTCTCACAGGAGCCCCTCTCGGTCCCCTAACGTCCACCGAAATCCTCCTTCGAATAAGGCCAATCACCGGCGCGGAAAAGGCCGGTGCGGCCAACTGCGAGGCTCCCAGGCCGGCCAAGGCCGGAGCTCAGGCAGGCGAGAGGAGGGCCTCTCGGAGCCGCGGCCGGTTTAGCGCTAGGGGCCGCCTGGTCTCAGGTGACCGCGGCCAGAACCGGCGAACGCAGCGGCTGCCGCGGCGAGCGGACACACGTGCGGCCCGTGCTCGCACCTCCGCCAAGATGCGCGCCCTCCCCCGGCCGCCCGCCAGGCTTCCGGGCTCCTTTGGCCCAGCGCCTCCCCCGCGGCACTCCCACAACTCGACAGCCAGACGCTTCTCTGCAGGCCGCGCGGATTGCGCGAGCGGCCATACCGCCCTCACCTCCCACGTGGAATCCGACACCTGGAAGCACAGGATTCGCTATACGGCCCCGCTCCGTCGCCTACAGCCCCGAACTACAAGTCCCAGAAAGCAGCGGGTGGGCCGCGCCCACTTCCGGCGTTGACCCTGAGGCTTCGCGAGGCGCTGAGCCCAAGGGTAGGGTTCCGTCCAACGCCGAGTGCTTTTCTCAGTTTGTGAGGCCTGCGACTAGGTCCTTCAGGTTGTTCTCCTGGTTTTTATTGCAAACGCGTAAGAATTATATTAGAAATGCCCATTAAAATGTTTTTCGTTTTGGTAAAGTGCTCCTGGGGGAAAAGAACGTAAATATCACGCGTAATTTCGCATTACCTTAAAAAATATTTTGGAGTGAGTGTCCCCTTCTCACCTCTGAAGTTCATTTCGCAAACATTATTTGAGGTCCTGCTATGTTCCAAGAACTGTTCAAGACACTTAAAAAAAAAATCACTGTGGATGTTAAATTCTAGTGGCATTTCCCACTAGATCAATACGTAATTATGATAAAAGGTATAGTGTGTTATAAGGTTATGTGTTATGGAAAAAGTGGAGTTGGGTCAGGGCATTGAGGGTGATGGTGCTGGGGTGTGTAGGTTGGGATATGCTTTGCAATTTTATTTTTATTTCTTTTTGGCTGTGTTGGGTCTTCGTTGCTGACCGCGGGCTTTCTGTAGTTGCAGTGAGCAGGGGCTACTCTTTATTGTGGTGCGTGCGCTTCTCATTGTGGTGGCTTCTCTTGTTGCAGAACACGGGCTCTAGGCACGCGAGCTTCAGTAGTTGTGGCACGCAGGCTCAGTAGTTGTGGCTCGCTGGCTCTAGAGCGCGGGCTCAGCAGTTGTGGCGCATGGGCTAGTTGCTCCACAGCATGTGGGATCTTCCTGGACCAGGGCTCGAACCCGTGTTCCTTGCATTGGCAGGTGTATTCTTAACCATTGCGCCACGAGGGAAGTCGTTGCCTTGCAGTTTTAAACAGGGAATATTGAAACAAAGACTGAGGAGATGAGGGAATCAGTCCTGTGACACTCAGCAGTCAGAACTGTTTCTTAAACATACACAGACATAACTGTTTATACAAACAGATACACTTTTTAAACAAAAATGGGGTCATGCTGTGTATATACAGGCCTGCAGTTTGCTTTTTAAATTTTGATAGTACTGTGTATCACTGATTTACATAGAAACCTTGCTCACCGAGACCCTTTTAGTTGCTAATGCCTTTAAGGGAGTGGCACCAAAATTCTCCCCAGTGGCTTTTCCATTCACCCTTCACTGAGTAACACAGGGCCACTAGGTCTTTCCAGAATACTTTCCCTGCAGATTTATCCTGGGGGTGAAAGAGCTGTTACCTAGACCTCTCCTCTGTATCTTTCCCCTTCTTGGTGTATTAGTTTCCAACTGCTACTGTAATAAATTACCACAAACTTAGTGACATACAACAAACACAAATTTATTCCCTTACAGTTCTGGAGATCAGAAGTCTGAAATCAGTTTCATTGGGCTAAAGTCAAGATGTGGGCACCGCTGGTTTCTTTTTGAGGCTCTAGAGGAGGATCTGTTTCCTTGCCTTTTCCAAGGTACGTTCACAACCTGTATTCCTTGGCTTGTGGCCTCTTCCTCCATCTTCACAGCCCATGACTCCAATCTCTGCTTCCCTCATCACATTACCTTTTCTGGCACTGACTTTTCCTGTGTCCCTCTATTAAGGACTAATGCAATTACATCAGGCCCACCTGGTTAATCCAAGATAATCTCTCAACATCATGACCTTTATTTTAATCACATTTGCAAAGTTCCTTTTGCCCTATAAGGTAATATTCACAGTTTCTGGGGATTGGGACATGGACATTTTTGGGGGGCCTAAGACATATCTCTGAGGCTCCTCTGCCTTTTGTCTGGGGAACACAAACTGTCTCGCCAGGACCTACTGCTTCTCTATCCATTGATTCTATCACTCTTGCTCTGACTCTCACCCCTTCATGTTCTCGCTTCCCACCTCACCCAGTTTAGAGGTAGTGGCCTATCGTTATGATCAGTCTCTTGACCCTAACTTACTTGGTTTTATTCTCCTGATCACACACCAAATCTAGTTGAATCCAACTCCCTGCCTGTTCCACACCTGTACCTGTGTAGCAGATGTGGCCTGAGAAAAACACATGGCTCTGATGATTGGTCTCACTTTCAATTTATGACTGCTAAGGTCAAGTGGGCCCTTAATGCTGCCCAACTATCCTATTACATTTTCTTAGTCCATCCATTTTCCTAAATGACTATCTCACAGTTTCTCCTGTTTCTTCAAGCCTCCAGCAACTCCTTCCATCTTGCTCACAGCTGATGACTTTTGCTTTCTATGAGAAAAGAGAGCTTTCATACCTTTACATAAGCGCATCTGCCCACCTCTCTGCATTGGAGTCTGTATGCTCTACTTTCTATTCTGAATGAACAGCCCCAGTTTCTATTTAAGAAAACTCTCCATTTGTGCCCTGAATCTTATCCCCTTTCTCACACATCAGGGCATTCCTATCTCTCTTCTCTATTATCAATTTTCATTCTATAAAAACCTGGGAGGTCTTCGTTTGGGGCCTACATCTTCTGCATGTTAAGGTCTTGGGATCTGGTGGCACACTAGTCAGGGAGCACCTGAGTCTTTAGGTCTTATCTGGGGAGCCCTTGGGAGACACACAGAAAGAAAGGTGGAGGCACTTCCATTTCCTCCTGGATGACCTGCTCTGGACTCATGGCCCAAAGTTCATCCTTGCCTATAAACAGTACTGTGGAGTACGGTTCTTCCTCACTATTCTTAAAATGAAGTCACAGAGGATGAGAGAGGGAGGCAGTGACTCGCCTGAGATCCTGCTTCTGGTAAATGGCAGAGCCAGGATCCAAACTCAGCACCTTGGGTAGTGAACTGGGGTCACTTTCACTATAGCACATCTGTCTCTTCATCTTTTCAAGGTAATCACAATTGGAACAGGTCAGTTTAGAGATGAGGAAAGGAGTTTCTGTTGGCCCCCTTGGGCCCTGCCTCCCAGTCCAGCCTACTAGGGATCACTCTGACACAGAAATGCACCTGACCAAGCTGGTTGGTGGCAGATTCAATTCTGGCCATGGTGGACTTCTAGGAAAGCTGGAGAAACCATAGTTGGAACTGGAAAAAGGAGTCCAGGGCTCCTATGTAGATTTGAGCCCTTTCCGCAACCAGGCTGGCTTCTGACTGGAGCAGGGGCACACAGCTCCCTCCTTCCAGATCTCTGTGAGTTCTAAGAATGTCTCCAGCTCTATTACACATACTGTTGCCAAAATGTCCTCAAAAGCCACGGAAATGGAGAGGGTGATAAGCAGGGTCTCATCCAGCTGTCTTCACTTTTCAGACTGAGGATTGAGGCCCAGAGAAAGGAAGAGAATTGTTCAGGTGCACCCAGGCAAGCAGGAGGGGAGGGAGGAGGGAAGTTAATCTTGCCCAGTAATGAAGGGCTCTTGGTGCTGCCCTGCTAGGGGTTCAGGAAAGATGGCCTCAGGGCTGTAGAAACTCATCATTATAGTTCACATGCTGCTAGGAGCAACTCAGCATCATTCCTGCACTTACTCATTCAAAACCACTCAGTGAGTATATTCTTTCTACCTTGTCACATGAAATGATGTTTCTCTGCAGGGCTCCACTAGCACTGGGGATGAGGAGGGTTTCAGTGGTTTTCAGTGTTATGAATCCTCTCTTCTCCCCCATCCTCTTTCTCCCTTATTGTGTGCTGTTGCTGTGCTTCTCACCTTTATTCACACTCCACATGTTGACTTTCTGAAAGATGTTGGGTATAGCCAACTAAGGACTCTAATGAGTAGATAACAACTTAAAGGTTGTCCCCTCAATCCAAGGTTAAATGTATCGTAGGATATCCTAAAGATCTAGAAATCTTTAAACCAAAATCTGTGGCTTTTTAGATGTTGTATTAGGATAATAGAGATGTTTTAAAACAAAGATCTGTATGGAGTGAAGAGGGTTGGGTTGCCAGATTGAGCAAATGAAAATACAGTATGCCCAGCTAAATTTGAATTTCAGATAAACAATGAATAGTTTTTAAGAAAATATGTGTCCCCTGCAATGTTTTTCTGAAATTCAGATGTTACTGGGCATGCTACATTTTATCTGGCAACCCTAGAGGAGGGGTATGCTTCCAAGAACTCCTTGAAAGACTCTAAGTGGGTAATTGATCTCTTGTAGGCTAACCCAAAAGATGTGCTAAGCCCTGCCTTCAACTCAGTCACCTGCCTCAGAGAAAAAGGCTCTGTAGCTAGCTGCCCAAAACCTTTCAACAGGGAGAGTCCTAACCAGCCCCTTCTGGCTCATCCTGTCCTCTGTCCTCTGTCCTTCCATCATCTTCAGTGAAAACTCCCACCTTCTCCATTTCAGAAGCCAAAGCAGAGCAGCTAAAGGCGGGGGCTGTGGGTGAGACGGTCTGGGTTTAAATACAGGTTCTGCCAACAGAAAACTGCACCTTTGTGAACAAATGTATCAGTCACTAATCCCTGAATTCCTCCTCCATAAAATGAGGCTTACGATACTTTCCCCTTTCAGGCTTACGATACTCTCCCCTTTCAGGCTGTGGTGAGGACTGCATAAAATAATGTGTGAATGGTGCTTATCACCGTGCTGGGCAGTATAAGTTAGCCGTACCATTCTCATTATTGACGTTCGGGTGGCAGCAGTCATTAGGGGCATGCCCTTGGAGACCGAGGCACCACGGAGGATGTTTTGCACCTGCTCCAGGTGTGTCTGCCCTTGCGCTTGCTGTCTGCGGCGTCCCTCTCCTTGAATCTCTGACTTTTCATTTCCGTTATCCTGGTTAATTCTCACAACAGCCCTGGGAAGTAAGCAAGCAGAGATTATTAACTGTTTTGCATGTGAGCAAACTGAGACTACATTTTTTAGCCTCTCTAAACCTTCCTCATCTGCTAAAACAAACAAACAAAAACAACA